AAGCTAAAACACCACTTTTGGTGAGCGGCACCATCGTTTCTCAATTGCTACTCTACAGCAGTATATAGCGTCCTACTGGTTAATGGGAATAATCAAGTCGGTTGAATAGTTTGCGATATATTAAATTTCTCCTAATGAATAGTTACAGTACTTTATGCTACATATGTGTATGTAGAAATGTTTTGGGGCCAAATGGAACGATTTTTGAAAAAAATTCCACAACCTATTTTAAGATATAACTATGTCTAATTGACTTTTGATATAATGACCCTCTTTTGCTTTACTTTCAACTACTGTAAAGTAGAGACATAGTATATATATATATGTACTATGTAGAATTACGTACATACAAGTATATGTGAAATTCAGAAGCTCAATTAATCAATTCTGAAAATTGTTTGCATATATGGATATGTGTGTGTGTGTGTGTTCATATAGGTGTTTAATTGATGGGTTACCTTGCATGCGTGTGAAACATTAAATGACAACTCAATTAGAGCTTATACAAATATAATACTAAAGTTAAAAGGTAATTGAAGACCTATTCCGGTACATACAAGTTGGTTGAAAAGTGAGTAGTGCTCACCGAGAAATAGCACTACTAGTTCCAAATATTTTTTAAAATCGATTACTTGCATCGTTTTATAACTATGGATGAGACTTGGCTCTACCACCATGATTCTAAATTGTAACAAACGTATACAGTGGAATGAAGCTGGTTGTTCAGCTCCAAAGCAGGGGAATTCACAAAGATCAGAAAATAAGATTATGGCATCAGTTTGGGATGAAATAGGAATTTTGTTGATTGATTATCTGCAGAAAGGTAAAACAATCAGCTTGGAATATCACTGCATCCTTTTGGATCAGTTGGTTAAAAAAAAAATCGGGAGAAAAGACCTAGTTTGCAGCACAAAAAAATCATTTCTCATCAAGACAATACAACTGCTCACAAAGGTGTTATAACAAGGACAAAATGCAACGAATTAAAATACGAATTGCTTGAGTATCCACCGTATTCACCAGATTTGGCTGCCAGCGACTATTAGCTGTTCAAAAACCTAAAAGAATTTCTTTATGAAAAGTGTTTCACGTCGAATGAAGAAGCTATTACAGCCATAGACGGCTGTTTTGCAGGGCTACCGGAAAGTCATTATGGGGATGGCATAAAATTATTTTAAGATCATTGGAATAAGTGTATTGTAAAATTAAAGGAGATTATATGGAAAATATATTTCGTAAAATATATTTCGTACCAAAAACAGTATTTTTTCATCTCGAGCGCAGAAACTTTTCAACCAACCTATGTATATAGATATGATATACACATTTTTATATTTTTATATTTGTTTGGTAACGTTCTTTGAAGTGTGTCAAACTTCTTAGGAAGTAGGTCAAGTTATTAAGCAAACTAAATATTATATATACATGGTACATATACGGAATGCGTCAATCGATTTTGGCATTGAAAACAAAAATACTTTCATAACCCAATAGAAAGTAGGCTCAATGAGCAGCCACTATAATGTTTTAATTCAAATTATGCATTTGTCACATAGTTAATCTCTTGTAACCAATGAGCTAGATGGTCGTAAATTGTCATTAGTTGGCCCATTGAACGCTAGCACACGCGACTCTCCTATTTGTACTTTCACCACAAGGACATTAAGCAATGCTCAAGCGTGCTTAGAACCTGTGCTAAGATACAGTTAATATATGCAAATATAATTAATGTAAATGCAACCTTGAGTTGTGTTAAAGCAAATATTTGTTTGGCAGTTTATGGTCAAGCAATTTTTGTCGCATTCAATTAACCAATTGATATTTTATCTTAATTGCCACTAAACTAGATAATTCGACGAGTGTTTAACGCAGTGAGCGTTTACTTCGCACTTGGCAACAATACGATGGCTAAGTGGAAATGCTATGAGTGTATTAGTTATGAAATTTTTTTTATCAATTTCTCCAATTGGCTCTTAAATAGTGTCAGCTCTAGCACTTCCTGTGTACATGTGCAAATAGTTCTCGTGAATTGTTTTTTGTTTTTTTGTTTTTTTTTTGCAAAGGGAACACGCAAAGTTAAACCACTGCACCGCCACCCTCCCTCAAGTAATCTAAATTCGCTTAGCAGTTATGCTTGTTGTTCAAAAATTTTACTGAGAAAGCTATAACGAAGTATCGATTAAGTCCAATTGCTTCGTTTAAGAACAACAAAATATATATATTTTTTATAAATGCGTTATTGATTTAGTTTCTATAGCTGTTTGGCTCTTCTTGGCGTCGTCTATTCAATTTTTATTTTCTAGCACCACGTTTCACATTCCAACTTCACCACAACTATGCCACTGTTTCATTATTAATTTAGTTCATTTCCCATTGGTTTTTTGTTATTGCAAACGCCCACGCTCCAGCTGGTCAAATGCTAGCTAGTGCTTAGCAGTGCATTTACCGTTAATACTACATCTATATTGCGTCCATCTATATTGGTCGCACGGTTAACTGTATTGTTGGTTATTCGTTAAGTGGTTGTCTCATGCATGTATGCGCGTGCGGCTGTGTATATGTGTCTGTTTGCGGGGCAAGCGGTTCACATGCAATGCAATCATTATTAAATATTTAAGCACTTCGTTGTTGTTATTCCACTCGACTGAGCTTGCGTCGCGGTCATGGCAAGAATGAGGGAATGTAATATGCGGGGATAGCGCACTGTGGTCCATTATGTCAGACTAATTGCGTCTTGGTTGATTTCGCAACGATGTGTAAGTTTTTATGTTAGAACTGTGGGTGTAAGGTATAGCTAAGATTCTTGAACTCAGCACCTCATTGCAGATTTATTCTATCTTTAGTTTTAAATAAAAAATACTGAACCTACAATGGTTGCACCAGCTACAGTTCCTAAGTCTTAGCAGAATTGAATTACCGCCGAATTGGTGGTGTATCTTAATCTTGTTGTTATTTAATTCTTAAGACTTCTCAAGATTTTTTCCTCTACATTTTGTCCCTTGATTACTTCTATTCGCTACCGCTTTTCTTTAAAGAATGTGCCCCTTACTTATACTGACTACCAGTTAGATAACGGTTTGAGTAAAAAGAAAATTCAAGTAATTTAATAAAAAAATTTAAGGGGGTAATCTAGTGTAGAATTTCAAAAAAATCGATTTTTTTCATATTTTTAAAGTTTAACTATTTAAGAGTAGGTATACGAGAGAAATAGTGAAAATTTAAATTATTTTTGGAGATATATGTAGACATTTTATTGACAAAGTCTTTACGCGAAACTTTAAATGCGTTTTTCTCAGACCAGACTTTTTCAACTCGAAACCCACGATTTCTCGTGTACTGGACCGATTTACTTGAAATTTTCAGAGAATTTTCTTTATAGACCTCTCTCAAGTACGAACTAGCCTCATCCCCAAATTTCAACTTTTACTATTTATTAAAAAAAATACGAAAAAATGTAAAAAATTTCAAACAGTTGCCATTTTGTCAAAAAAATTTTTTTTTTAGTTATCGCTAGTTCATACAATTGCGACATCATTGCAGATTGATCATCTTTGTTTTTTCAGATAACAAGGAGGGTTGAAATCATGAGTTTGCCAAGTTTTTAAGACCCTCACTTCATCAGCTGCCAGTTTATTTTTAATTTTTTTCTGTATTTTTGTAACATTAATAAATACTTGTAAGTGATAAAAAATCGGAACGGGAGTCGGAATGTGGAGAGACGTTCGTTTTCACGGCTGAATATTGGAAAACGTCAGTGAGTTCTCTACTTCCACAAACTTTGCTGTCGAGAAGTATGGTCCAAGTTGTTAAAAAATCTTGTCACAGTCACCTCATTTTTTGATTTAAAGAACGCCAGTATTAATTTTTATGACGTAGGAACATCTAATCCATTAAAAGTTGCATAATTCACGCACATGTTCTTAAACTATAATCCATGGTTTATTAGCGGTGATGATCATTGGAATATTAAATGAATTTTCGGCTGGTGATAATCGAAGCTATAATCATCGCGAATTAAAGGTTCGAACTGTATTTGGTACAAACTAGCATCCTTCTTCGTGTGCTTTCACTATACATTCTGCTTAAAAATTTTTAAAACATATATTAAATGATTTTGTTGAGAAGATAGGACAAAAAAGTCGATAAAAAAAATTTGACATTATATAGCCCAGATCTTGTCCCCTCGACTGCCATTTGTTACGGTCGCTGCAGAATGCACTCACTAGAGTATGATTTCAATCAGAACAGGACAAAAGTTGCCGGATTGATGGGATAACACCATAGTTTAAGACAGCCAATATTTTGAATAATACCATGACTTTTTTAAAATAAACGTTTGATAAAAAGCAATATATTTTTAAACGCAATAACTGTAATGTTTTTGTTCAAAGATATATTGGATTTGAAGCTTAAAACTCTTTTGAAGATAGATAACTTTAAAGAGCAACAAATTTGCATGAAATGGAGCCAAATCATATATTTGGAGCCGAAAAAGATAACTCAAGCAATTCTACGAATTTCAACAACGTACTCACACTTTGTAAGTACCATTAGATTAATTAGAGAAAATATTAATATTGAGTTTCTAATTAAGTAATAAAATGATAACATAAAAGTAAATGCTACATAAAATTTACAGCAACAAAACTAAATCAAGACGTTAATTGCACAACAATGTTAAAAGTGAACTCACCCGTTGGTACTACAGTGCGTATACGTGTTCGACATCCCGCAGTTGCATCGCATGCGCTCGCTGAAAATGATAAATAAGCGAAGCATAAAATTAAAATAAATACGAAATAGTAAAATAGTAAAATAACTATTCATATTGAGGGTAATCTAAATTAAAATATTTAAACAGTAAAATCAATTAATATTAAATGAAATGGTAAAAATAAAAATAAAAAAATTGTAAGAAAATAGAGTAAAAATGTATACAATTAAAAGTAGAAATTTAATATTTATAAATTAGTATAACTAAAACTTAAGAATTAACAACAAAAGGAACAAGAGTGAGTGTAACACAAGTTTATGAACCAACAGCTGTGTGTTCAACGGGTTCAATAAAAGTGTACAACTAACTGCCCCAACATGGAATGAGGACGAAATCGTATGCAACACGCCACTAGACAATTCCAATTTGTATTTTTTGTTTTGTTGTTTATTTTGTTTTTGTTTCTTGTAATGCGCTAGTCAGCGCCAGTTCCTTTCTCTGTCATGTAAGTGTGCGGTCAGAGGGCTTCGTGCGGACTCGTGTCCATTCTCGTTGCATGTGCGCCATAATTCCTATGTAGTGGTGTGGTAGTTGATAAATTTACCGAAGATAGTCATATGTGGCAGCAAACGCCATCGAACCGTCAACGCTCGTGGACATGTTTCCGTAGCTGTTTCCGCCGTCGCCAATTGTGTGTCGCATTGTGTGAGCGGTGCATGAGTGACAAAGCTAATGTCGAGCGACCAAAACGATAATAGTCAATTGGCTTAACGGTACTGGGCAACAGTGTATATTGTGTGCAATGAAAATGGCAGAGGAAGTGTGAACTTAGTGGCAAGGTGGTGTGGCAAAATGCGCGAATGAGCAATCAAGCAAATTATAATGCAAATACGCGAACAACACAACAAAAGCAACAACAGCGGTATGTTGAGTGAAAACAAACAACAACATATATGGCAAATAACAATTGGGCTTCTGTATGTGTGTGCGTGTGTTTGTGTGACAAATAGCCAGAGGGCGTGCAGTGCAATTTAGAAAAATGCTAACCTATCTACATACAAACTCGTTAGAATCCGCAGAAATGTGTAATTTGCTGAAATCCGATTGAGTTCTTTCGAAATACGAGCACAACAAAAACAAAAGAAAAACTAGTGCAATAAATAATACTTTCGTGAAAAACGTCAGACAGTAGAGCTGCGTGTGTGTATGTGTGCGTAAACATATAGAAAATCGCATAACAAATAGCTGGGAAAACCGCACAGATGACCAGCCTGCAGTTCTGTGAGTGTGTGTGTGTAACAGTAAATGATAGAAAACGTATTTGTGTGACATTTTGTCTAGCGTCATTTGCATGATCAATATGCAGAGCAAATAAATGTAAAAAAGGAAACTTAGCTATCCGCTGATAAATTTGCAAAACGCTCATTTTCCTCTTCGTCCTGACGCTCTATAGTGTTTTTTTCCTTTGAGCTCGCGCGTGCGTGTATGTGTATTGCTCCACATTCGTCGTTGTTGTTGGTATATTGTTGAGTGGGTGTTCCGTTATTTTACATATTTATGCAGATGACTTATTGCTGGAAAGTTTCCGCCATGCATTCGATTCGCTTGAATGCACGAGCACATTGAGCTGCAGTCACAGTGCTGCTCTCGCCATCGCTGTGGCATTCGCGTTCACCACGCTCAGCGGTGGTATCGTCTTTAAGCCGCGTGTAGCGCATTAGCAACTCAGCAACTTAGTAGTGCACATTTAATTACATATAACATACATACAAACATACATCTATAGCGAAAATGCCACCGAAACGCAGACGCCGTTTTCAAGGATTGTACTATCATTCGTCGCCGCCGAAAGGTGAGTAAAAAAAAAGCAATTATCAAAAAAGTGAAATTTTTAAATAGCGTAGCTTTTGTTTTTCTCTTCAACTGCTTAATGAAAAGGTTTCTTATACGTTTTGTAGAAAATTTTCTAACATTGTAGGTTTAAAGCAAAGAAACTATATATTAAGTTGTAATTAAAGAATTTAATATTCCTCCTGGCTTGAGCGAATATTGCTTTATTAATCAATTGATGACACACATCGCTGCAAATATGAGAATAAAAATACTGATGTGTACGGTTTTTGAGGTTTTGCTCAGATTCCTATTTCTAACAATACTTCGGGATTATTAGATTGTTTTGAAGATAGACAGTGACTTTAACGGTGTATAAAGAAAAAATATTATGTTTTCGTGCAAATTTATTTAATTTTGAGATTATTGGGAAATTAAATGGTCCCTCAGTTTTTAAGCTATCGATCTGAAATTTTACACCTGTATTTTTTTTACTAGGAAGTTGGTCATTTTTCGGAACGGCCGATATGGGACCACTATAGCTTATAGCTGCCATACAAACTGAATTTGATACAAATCCGTAAACAAATATGGCCGCCACGAGCTAAATCAATCATCATGTAATCACTATGGGTAGACGTGGTATTATACTATATATATACTCGTATACATATATAAATATATATAGGTATATATATAAATATTGATAATAATAAGTGTGTAAATTTTAAGAAATATTACATTAAATTATTATTTAGGTACATAAAAAAGTGCAAGCCGACATCCACCAATTTAAGATCAGATTTTCCATTTTTTAGTTGTTCCTCCTCGAACTGGGTTATATTATATAATTTATCTACTGTAAAGTCAAACGAGGCTCTGATGAAAAGTTGGCGTGGTTGTAATCCACACAGAATATGAGAAAGGTCGAGTAGTTGCTAAGATAGGATATTTCCTTAAAAGTGGATGGTGCCACTTCCACAGATCCACATTTTAATATACATGCCTGCTCTGCTATCTTTATAGTTAAATTTATTAATATTCTACTTAAAGTTATCGCACTTTTAGTAGTATTCATTGATTTCACCTATTTAAACATTTCACCTATACACACTTTGTAATGAATAACAAGAAAGAATCAAATTATACTTTGTATTACATGTTGAAAGGGTATAATACAATATTAAGTATCGTATTTGTATTGTGCTCTATAAGCATACAAGTAGTCACAAACTCGCTAGTGGAATAATTTCAAAATTATTTTATTACCATCTTCAAGTGGCGTCATTAATAATTTACTCACCATAAAACCGAGTACATTTGAAGTAGTTTCACCTACAAACTGACTATAATACAAATATAGCAGTGGAAATTAATTGCCCACAGTGAATTAACTTGGCAAAGTTAAATAGCGCGACATAAAATCACATAATAAACAACATCGCATAATATAACATTTGCATATGTACGGGTGGTATATGTGTTGGTGTGTAAGGAAATCTGCCATTAAAACGCCAATCTAAATGGGAATGGGAGTTAAAACGCTTTTCGTTGGAATGTTTACGGAAAAAGTCACGCGAAACTCGCGCTCAAGTGTTGGAATTTTTATGATGATATGCCAACATAGCACATGCAAATTTATTAAAGCGAAGCTCGCTTAATGAAGTAAGTGTGGGTGTACAAAAAATTATATATATTTATAAGTAAATAAGACAAAAGCTAATAAATGTACTCTGAAAGGCATTAAGGACTTTTAAAGGCAATAAGCAGAGTATATCGGTTGTTGAATTTTGTGTAGAATTGTTCAGTCATTATATGGAGCTATGTGTAGGTGATTAAAAATAAGAAAAAACGTTAGCCTGCACCAAAGCTATAATACCTCTCACACTTTCATTTTTTATAGCGTATAAAAAGTAATTTAAATTGATTTTGATTTGGTCAGTTTCAAATACAAGGACTTGAGTTTGATCGGTTAGTTGTATGGCAGCTATATGCTATAGTAGTCCGATCTGAACAATTTCTTTGGAGATTGTAGCGATGCCTTGGGTAATAAGCTTTGCCAAATTTCATAATTATACCTCGTGAAGTGAAACAGTTTTCTGTATACACGCTTGATTCCGATAGTTCAGTTTGTATGGCAGCTATATGCTATAATGATCCGATCTGAACAATTTTTTTTGATAATTTCATTATTGCCTTTGCCAAATGTCGTGCAAATATCTCCTCATATGAAAAAGTTTTCCATACAAGCACATTATTCCGATTGTTCAGTTGGCGTAGTGTGCATATATACAGACGGATATGGCTAAATCGACACAGCTCGTTCCGCTGATCCACTTTATAGAGGGTCACTGATGTAACCTTCTGGGTGTTACAAACTTCGTGGCAAACTTAATATACCCTATAAAAGATAATATCGAATTTATGGGTTAAATTGAAGGTGTATACAGAGAAAAAAAAACCCTGTAGATAGAATTTTTAGCTTAATTTTAAAAGGAGTTGGTAAGCATTGAATATATTCCATACAAATAACGCGTAAAAATCTATTTTTATTAAAATTATCATAAGTTTGGAACCGTTTGGGATTACATTTTTTATATCGCTAATTTTTGTAGAGTATAATTATTTTACCCCCGTTTAGCGGCTTACTGTTACTGAATCTCGTTGCTTCGGGATTGCCCTTTCTGAATTGCTCATATCTATATACATACATACTATGCTAGTATATACTACATAATCTTACATGACTCTTAATTACTGTACTAGTACATAAACTACAACACATATATTCGTTACCAGAGGCAACAAGTGGCATTTTGCCGCAATAAATTTCATTTTTTTATTTCACATCAAGTTTTCTATACCTGGTTTTTTGTTCGCCATCTTAAATGGCACAGCGGAAATGTTTAGTGTGCGATTTCCGTTTCATTTCCGGGTTATTTTCATTATTTGCATGTTGATGGTAAAGGAATTCAGAGCAGACAGTAGTAGTGCGCTAAAGGGAAAGCACTTATGGCTATAGATCTTCATTTATATGTACATAAATTTGTATATATATAAATATGTGTATCTATGATATACTTGTATAAATGAATATGAATATGAATATAAAGTATTGTAATAGTTCCATATATCCATAGCAAAATAGATAGGTGAGACCAACAAGACAGGTCTGACAACTTAATAAAGCACTTATGGACAACAAGGTGCATATATTAAAGCTAATTACTAGCGCGGTAGTCTAATGTCTGGCAGATATTTTTCAAATATAATTATCTTTTAATACATTTGGGTTGTTACAAAGTATAAATGTTTTATTCACCTAATGGTGGTTTGGTTTTACATTACTATTAGTACATCCACAAAATGCTCTTACGCGAAAAATGTGCAGGCTATACCTATGCCAGAAATTAAGAGATAGAACTTTAATTTGGTACGAGGCATTGAAGTGTGGAGGGACACCCTTCAATACGTTTAAGGCATATGCTAAAGCTTTATCAAACAAACGTGCTTGCAGTGGGAAAATGGGTGAAATCGGGTAATAACCACGCCCAAATAAAGAAAAAAAAACAGGCGAAATTCAACTACAAACACGCCTAATAAAAGAATCCACCTTTGCGATATCTTAATGAAACTCGGGTCTATACTCCCCTAAACCGCATATACCGTAAAGTCATTTCTGACTTTCCAGCTGACTTTAAACTGCTTATTTAAGTTAATCTTACTGTACAATTATCTCATTATCGATATTTAAGCTATAGTTTTTACAGCAGATTTCGTCATGCGTCGTCTTTATTTAGTAAAAAATGCTTATTATAAGACTTAACTGATTTTCATTACGAATATTCAGATTTTTCAATATAGATGCTAAGTTATATGGCGGACTTCCGCAGAAATATTTCTGCAATTAATTTCTTTGTACGAAATCTTCTAAGCCATTTTTTAATCCTTGATACTGTTCGAGCGAATGTCCTATTGCAATGAGTACTTCTTACTACTTTTGATGAGCTAAAATTTGCTTTCGAAATATATGAAATTAGCCGTCAGTATATGCAAGAAAAAACTGCATTGTAGTGAACTAATGTATTTTTAAACACTCAAATTCTATTTTTAAAATCTTAAAATTGCACTGAAAAACAAAATACTTAAACGGATTCTAATTTTATGCAGCACGTAGGCAAATGCGTCACATGCCATGACAAACGATCTGTCTAAATGCCTAAGCAGGTAGCCTAAAAATAGTTTTTACTAACAAGAAAAGCCTTGTCCATTTTACACATATTCATCATAAGTACACATGTGGCAGTAACTAGGCTCGTGGCATGTAAGTGACTTGTCGTTTTTAAGGGCAATAGGTAGATATTCTTATATATGCATATCCTTGGCTTTGATTTCGCCGCCCACCACCTTTTATGCCATTCAAATTTATTGTAATTTTCTTTTTCTTGGCAAAGCATATCAAACACATTTAATTGTAGCCTACGTTTGGTTAACGGCATATGTTGAACTATATATGTGTGTGTGTGTGTTGTGGCCTGTATGCTAATTGGAATACCAAAAATGTGCTCACCTTGGCATATTTAAAAGCCAATAGAGGGCAACATATACTTAATGTGCATATGTATATATATAGAAAATATATATATTGTATATATAGCATATGTATACATATATGATGGTGAAGATTGCATATTTGTGTGGTAGGAATTGTGAGAACTCCGCATATGTTTTATTTAGAACAATCAATGCTTATATAAATCGGCTTATAGATTCACCAAAAATAACAGTTTGGGTTACAATTAGTGCATTAAAGAAAATTTTCCACATACGTGTCACATACTTCGAAGGTTGCGTATACGCAGTGCTGTTCACTTAAGCGCTGCAATTGCTTTTCCAAGTATTGTTTATTGTTCCCTCTGCTCACCTCAACACTTGTTTCGCCACAATTGCTTATTAGATTACTACTAAATAAATAAAAATGATTGTTATGCCCATAAGTGTGGTGAAATTAGCATATTAACGCTGTTGTTTATCCTCTGTTTGTATGAGCTTCGTGGAAAAAAACAAAATTAATTGTTGACTTTTGTTGGCACACCCGAAGCTCTCAGCGCTGGCTTCCAATGTAAGCGTATACTTGTAAAAGAGTAAATCAATTTCCATTCAATTCACTGGAAGCATGTAGTGTTGGCGTGGGTGAATATTATACAATTACTTTTAATTTTCATTATAAGCTGACCTTGTTTTTGTTTGCTTTTCGGCTGGCAAAGAACAACAACACAAAATAAGTACACCACCATAAAAAATCTATTTGTTTTCCTTTCCTTTTCAACCATGTTGAAATAAAAAGAAATGTCGCATTTAACTTTGACCAACGAAAGTTTCCGCTCCACCTGCCGCAACGGCCGCGCCAATTGTCCGCTTTATACAAACAGCCTTTCAACGCTTGGCTTCCGGTGCCGTGGCTACCTGTTTGGCTAGACACACACGGTTGGTAGGCTGTTGGTCACTTGGGTTGCCTGCTGGTTTTGTTGGTATGATGGTGGGATCTGTTTTGTGGAATTTTCGACACCTTTCGACCGGCAATTTGCTGGTGGCCGTCGAGTACTTTTGGAAATCAGTTGTTGACCGGTAAGCCCAGTCAGAAGACGTGTTTGAAGTCGCCGCTATAAAAAATACACTATTTGTCAACCTCAGTAAAGTGTGTGCTCGTTTTGTGGTCAATTAAAAAGAGTAATAAATAGTAAATTATTGATTTTGTGAGCTAATTCCGTTGAATTATTTGTACTTGTATAATTTTTACAAAATAGTATATAACAGGGCGTCTATAGATATAATTTAACATTATTGGTAGCTTGCTTTATAGTAATTATATTTTAATGTTAAACTAATATGGGCAGATTTTTTTTCCTGGTAGACATTTGGGGGGATTATAACATTGATTACGTTTAATCAAATTTCTGTAGTAAAACAAATTTTAATGCTTTATGATGAACATTTAATTAAAACTAAAATTTCATCTTTATTATAATTTTTTTTTTTTTTCAGTTCTACCAATGAACGGACAATCGTCGAACCAAGGCCGAAAGCGTCGTGACATAGATGGTATGTAAAATGAGTAAAGAAAAATATTTAACTGTTTTTTGTTTCTTAATTGCATTTGGTTAATTCCGATAGCTCTATTTCTACATATCATTTATTATTACGCTATTGTTATATATAATTTTTTCTGAAGCCAACGTTAGGCGAGTGTTTTTTTTCAGATGAGCGTGCTAATTATATGTAGAGTGATTCCTCAACGGCATATTATAGAAAATAATGATTAAAGATGCTGCAATTAAAGAACTGTTGTTAATCTTTCTACTATAGCTCAAGTTTGATGCACCATGATCTCATTTAAAGAAACGCTCTGGTCGACATACATTTAAGATTGTTGAAGTGAGGAATTATGCCATTCGACATTTTTACTTAGCGAATTCATGTGTATTTTTTATTAGGAAAAATATTTGAATTGTCTGTAAATATCTTTTTGAATAATTGAGTAAGTCTTTTAAGACACACTGTCCTCATAGCAATCAATCATAATTAGATACAAGAATGGAGATAATTGCTTTGGAGATTTTTTATGCGCTTTATTACTCCAGGATCCAGGAAGTTCTGTAGATTCCTTATTCGTGGCCTTAACTGAAATGACCTATGACCTATGTATATCATGTTTTTGATATTCTAAGATTAATGTGCCTTGAGCTAATTGTGTCAAACTTAAAATTAATAAAGATCCTATTTTTACGCAACAAAGTTGAAAATCAGCTCCAAAAATGATAAGCTGTCCTGTTTGCAGCATAAGATGATTCTAGTTCTTCAAACTGAATGGTTTTATGAACTTAGTTGGAAATGGAAAATTAGGACTTTCAGTGTTCACATAATTTTTTAGCCTTTTTTAATTTAGGAAAAATCTTTTGTTAATATTAATGAACGTAAATCATTTTCTTTACTCACTCTAAGTAGTGAATAATAATAATAATAATAATGATAATAATAAATAATAATGAGTATTTATTAATGACTTTCGTACCTTTCATTTAGCGTTAATATAGAATATGTGATTTATATCTATTATTGATAAATTTCTGTGTTCTTCAAGTGGTTTTATTTTTTGTGTGTTTTAATCAGTTTTTTGTTTTATTGTTTACCTTGTTTTGACAAGCTAAGTGAAATATGACAAATGTGATCTTATAGAAATTAATATTTAATAAACCAATTGTATTATTCAATTAGTTCAGTTGTTGGTCGTAAGTTAAGTGGTATGATATCGCATGCGATTATTTAAATGACAGCGCGTGTTTGTGGTATCGTCTTGAGCATTACTAATGTCAAGTGTAGTGTATTATATTAGGGCGGACTACATTTTTTTGTAAAAAGAGTAAACGAGTTTTTCTCAACAGCTGAAATATTGTAGAGTAACATGTAGAAAAGAAGATGAAATTGGGTTCTCTTTTGTCAAATACAAATCTTTTGATGTATTTATGTAAAACTAATTATTTCTATAATCCTTATATCTAATGTATATATGCTTTGCTCAATAAATCCGATGGAAATTTGAAAAATTAGGGTTGTCTAAGGTATACCTGATTTCAGAGAACTAAAAATATAAAATTAATTTCACGTGATTAATGTTCTGGGTAGAATAATACAGAGCCACAAGAAGAGTTAAGAGTTAAGCTAATAATGAATTGGTGCAATAAAAATATATGGTTAGTGAAATAAAATTTATTTTAACCCTACATGAAATCCACTTCCTAACTAGAACTCGTTTGCATGTGTTCGTCATGGCGTATACGCAACATTACTAAGCTTTTTGATAGATTGCTTATTATATACCAAAATTGGCGACATGGCGTATAAGCAACTTTTAAGTAAAAGTAAGAGTGGTTATGTCAAAAATCTGGTTTATTTCGAAAAGTAACTACACATGCAAACTAATTAGATGCGATTAACAATTATTTATAGCAAGTGGTTTCACATCCTGCTACATTTTAAATATATTTGCTCATTGGAATTAAAGATAATCTACTGTGCTGTCGTCTTACAGTTTTTTATGATTGCATAAAAAAATTAAGAAATTGCAAACAAAAATTAAAATTTGCAACAATTTAGTAAAAATAAAATAAAAACACTCATTAAGAAGTATTAAAAAGGCATTAAGGTGAGTTTAAGACTACAAAAACTTATTAGAAATATGCGTGAGGCTGTCATTGGAAATTTGTGCCTCAATATCTTTAAATTAGGAGTTTCAGACAATGTCAAAATCTCTAGGTTTTACAATGAATTGAATTAATAATTTTTTTAAAATTTAAGATTCTTAATGAAATAATTTTTTTGTTTTAATTTTCGTGAATTGTAGTGTGGACATTTTAAAATTTTAATGCACAAAAATTACCACATATCTTATATTCTAATCTGACTTGACATTCTTATGCAATACTGAACATTACCTTGTACTACCAAAGTCGTACTTACAAATGAAGAATACACTCGAAAATAACTTAACAGCATTTAAAACAGTTAAAAGGCTATAAGCAGAAGAGCACACGCCTTACCAAAATATACTAGTGAAATAGCATGTCAACACGCTAAGCGGATATGGTTACAAATCAGGGAGGGGTAACGCTGAAACTTTAATGAGAAAAGTACTTTAGTTTCGAAACAACAAAAAATGGTATGCGAAAGCTCTATTACCAAAGTGCAGAGTTAATTGAATTTTTACACACCTTAAAAGCAGCTGTCTTTATTCACTTCGCAGATTTCTCAGTCAAACTATCAACCATAAGAATATGGATGCACGAAAAGGATATTGGCAAGCTGACACGCATTCTCTGGGCCGGTCAGGGCAGTCGGCTGTGCCAGCAGGCGAGCACAAATCCGCGTGTCAAACGTTTTTTGGCAGCGGTGCCATATGTGATGGTGAGTAAGATTGGCCAATATTTGCAAGAAAATTGCAATATTTGCCAAAAACACTTCTAATATGCAAACACAATTTTTTATTTTTGCGCTGAAATCATATTTCGCACTACAAATATTTTTAGAATTCGATCAAGGACGTACATCAAGCCGTCATCGACAATAATTTGGAGACATTGCAGGCGAAAATGGAGCCACCGGTGCCACCGGCACTCATTACCTGTCGCGATGCGAATGGTCTGAATCTTATACACAAAGCGGCGGGTCTGGGCCATACCAAGATACTTGAGTATCTGATTGGTATTTGGCCGGATGGCATTGCCGAAACGGATATAACGGGCAAAACACCGTTACATTGGGCGGCAAGTCACAAGAATAACATGCGCTGCTATACGCTGCTCACGGAGGCCGGCTGCGATGAAGAGGCCTTGGATTATGTAAGTGCAAAGCATTTGCAGCGTAATTGTTGTTTTTGTTATTATTTTATATAATATCATATAAAATAATTTTCCGGCAATTGCGTGCTATGCGTCAAAGTGTCGTGTTGTAATTGAAAGTAAAATTGCAATCACCATCTATTGAAATTGTGTAGACTCTAAAAACTCACTCTTTTTCTTCCTCTTTTACATTTCTATTTCTGTTATTTTTAGAAAATGAAATCGCCTACTTACTATCGCCACAAGCCGCACGAAATTGAACGTGCCTTTTTGGTTTATGTGCCGGAGGCGCCACGTGTCTCACCAGATGTCGCCACCGATTGGGAGGCGCTGAGCGAAGACACCGGCGATGGTGGCAAGGTGAGTTGTTTGATTGTCAGCTGTCGCTAATTGCGTTATGAGATTTCTCTTTAAACAAGTTTTCTAGATTTGTCAATAATTATGATGTGTGTATTTATAATATATATTTATGCATGTACGCATTTGCGTTCTGTTTCTTTCGTTTTCCCCACTTCCCATTCTATGCCTCCACGTTCGGTTTGTATTCGTTCTTTTTCTAACAGAAATTAGATATTAAAATACCAGATACGAATGGTTTTCATGGTCGCACCACTGACGACAGTATTGAAAATACATCGGAGGTGGATCTGAATGATGGGTGAGTATTTGTGTTGCTTGTGTAGTGAGTTGATAGTTGTAGTGTTGAATTTTTAGTGCATTTGTAGAGTTGCTCTTTGGCAGAAAATGTTAATTTTTGGAATTTTATGTACAAAATTAGAGATATATCAATAAATAATTTTAAGTGTATATTTGCAAAGAAGACCTGGAATATTCCGATATTCAGTGTTTATATATAAATATTTTTTTTTTGATATACCTTTTGTGTTTTCTTGAAATTGTTTTTAGAATTGCCATTTTTTGAAAATTCTAACCCCGATCAGTACTAATAGGTACACTCTACAGGCTATATTCAGTTTGCCACTATGTTTTTAACACTCAGAAGGATATGTCGGAGACCCTATAAATACATATAATATATCAATGATGAAGTTGATTTGGCCATCTGTTTGTCTGTCTGTTTGTATATACGCGAACTAGTTTCTGAGTTTTTGAGATATTAATCTGAAATTTTGCTCACGTTCTTTTCTTCTCAAAAAGCGGTTCATTTGTTGGAAATGTCAATAACGGACTACTATAGCCTATAGCTGCTGTACGGACCGACCGATGAAAACAAAGTTTTTGTGAAAAAAATTTATTTGTGAAGGGTGTTCTAGATTCAGTCAAACCGAAGCTAACGTTTTTTCTTGTTTTTACTATCTTCACCAATGAACACCTGAGTCTTGCAATATTGGCCTTGACCTGACTTACCTTCCGTTTTATATTAGGTAAGGGGTGCCTAGACATTAAATCAATTGCAGAACGCTACTTCGTGATAAGACTGGCAGTACCCGGTCCAATCGAAATCGTAGTGAACTAACTGCAATATGAACGACATACAAAGAGAGCCACACTTGTTTCTATGACATCGGATTGGGAACGAGTTGGAACACTGCTGTCTTCTTATGGTTTAATACTGGATGGCTTAGCGGTCAGCCGTTCGTACTCCTGGGGTAACAAAGATCATTTAGCCAGGGTTAAAGTTTAAGAATTCTAGTGTGTTATCACTCTCATTTGATCAAGCACATTTGTATTGAGTTCAATGAGCTTTGACGACACGTGAGGGATAAGACCAATTTTCTAGAGGTTTTTGTCATCACAAGTGGAACGTTTTTGGTTTCACATTGTGAGAAGGACGAACATTTTCTAAACAAAAGGAAACTCTCCAAAGTTCTCTAAAAAATTTACTACTAGAAACAGACTTAAGCTTAAGAGAAAATTAGTGTAATAATGAAATAAAATTAGGAAAGAAGTGTGTTAGCATTTGTTTTTATTATGGCTCAACTAGAAGAGATATTTATTGCTTGATGTCTTAATATGTACGAACATCAAAATCTTATTCGCTAAAGTGATGCAATACATATTAAACAATAACAGAAAATTTGCAGAGTATCATGGTAATGGCAACTGTAAATTTCCTGTTATAGTTTTCCTTCATATATAATATAAGCTTTCAAACCCATGACACTCAAAAATAAGATATGACTTCATATCCCCTTTGTATTTGTTGTTACGGGATTTCTTCTGAAAAATACATTTCCTTTTTTTTTAAATATATAAAATATCTTATAAGTTTATAATATTAGTGGCACTAAAAATGTCACAAATTGTAAAAAAAACATCTAAACGAATTCCAAATATTAACATTTATTTTCCTGCTTGCAAGATTTAGAAAAAAAAATAACAATTTTTCATACAAATAATGAATGCTATAGCTAATAGAGAGCTTTCAATAAACTTATCTACACATAGCAAAAAATTTTGGAAGTGCCACAGAGTGCTTTTCAGCTAAAGTAGATCTATAAAATTATAAAAATAATTTAAGTTTTTTATAAATATTATATTTTTTGTGTAGAGTTTTTTGAACAATTTTTGTATAACAAATAACCGTTTTCTCAAAAAAATAAACACCTCATACACAACACCGTTGACGCAAATTTAAACTCAAACATTTTACATCATACCACAAAAACAACATATAATCATAAAGCATAAGCACCACGGAAGAACAACACGCCGTAGCTGTTATTAATGGCAATGGTGATGACTCAGCGCCACAAACGCCAGCAAAAGATGACGAAGAAGCAAAAGATTATGCAGCGGAGGGTTTTGAAGAAGACACACCACTGACAAATGGTGCGGCAGAAACAAACGACGTCAATGGGCATGACGTAGCTAAGGCAAAAGCCGAATCCGAGGACGCTGAAGTAGTAGAGGCTGAAGGCGAAGCTGCGGTAGATGCAGATGCTGAGGCAGAAGCTCCGGCTCATGTTACGGCTGACGTCGAAGCCGATACTGAGGCCACTCCAGAGGTAGAAGCCACAGAAGCGAAGGTGAGTTGAACATTTTCGCTAAGCACCCATCCTTTTGTACTAACATAACCACATTTGTTTAATCACGCACACACCGATTGTCAACTACTTGCAAATTTTAATTCATAATGCACCCTGTATACTAATTAATAATGATTAAAGCTTCTGAATGTTGCAAGCGCTTTCGAACGCTGTAAATACAGACAAAAAAAAAAGCTACATTAGTTTACGCTTGTTGTTGCTTTGGTAGATTTTTGCTTGCAGTTTAGTATGCGCAAATAGTTGGAAGCTTCATTGAACTTTTTATTCACTGCAATTTAAAAAAAAGAAAATATTGAATTGGACAACACATTTTTTTTTCAAAAAATGCTTTTTTAGAAGAGGAAATTAGAGAACGATGAGTAACCAAGAATTAGTGACTCTATTTCCAACTCTCAAAAGTAAGCCATTGTCGGCAATGATGCGTCTTTCGAATTTCCGTGTTTTTGTTAATTTTTAAAAAATACATGTTTTTGAAAATATAATATACACAAATAAAATTTTTCCTTTTGTTCAATACTATTATATTTCCTTTAATTTTCTGTCAGCGGCTTGAAACACTACAGTCCATAACTTTATATGTTACTAAAGCTCATTAAAATTTTATTTCGATTTTTGTGCTGATTTATTTACCATTAAAAAAAATAAGAATTTTTGAATTTTGAAAAAAAAGACGCAAGAAAAAATGTTTGCTTCTTTTTGAACTCAAACATACAGAAAGATATCAGTCGACAATTGTTTACTTTTGCAGACTAATATGAAAGCTTTAAATCACACAACAACAACAACAAATGGGAATGAAGAGCATGCGGAGCAGAGAGAGAGTGAGACAGCGGCAACAGCTGTTGACGATAACAAGGATACGGCAGAGAGCGATATTGTTGAAAATAAGAGGAAAAATGAGCAAAGTGAGGAGACAGAGAAGGTAGAAGAGAGAAAAGTTGAAAGTGAAAAGAAAACTATCGCAGAGAGTGAAACTAAGGCCAAAGAGGAAGATGGACAAAAAAACGAAGGTACGGAAAATCAAGTAGACACAGAAGAGAAGTCAGAAACAGTTGAAAGGAAAGAAGTAGAAAATACGAAGGATGATGAAAAAGAAACCAAGGTTAAAGAAAATAAAATAAAGGATGAAACAGCAAATACTGAGAGTAAAATAGAAGAGACACAGGTCTCCGAGTTGTCGATAGAGCCTCGCATTGAGAGTGGAGACACGCAAATGAAAGAAGAAAAGGAACAGAAACCAATGGGTGAGAAAGAGCAAGATCAAACAGAAGCGGAAGCGGAAGCAAAGAACGGCGATAAGATAGAGAGTGAAGTTGTCGAAGTACAGCATGTTGGAGAGCAAGCTGAAGATCATAAAAGCGATTTAGAAGTAAATGAGTTGGACCAAAAGTTTAAAGACGTAGTTGACGAAATAGCACCGCTCGATACCACAGAGGCAGTAAAGGAAATATTAAAAGAAGTAAGTGAAGATGTAGATACTAACAAAGATGAATTAGAGAAGTTGAATAAAGAAGGCAAAGAAAAAAAAGATGAAGATAAATGCTTAGAGGGAGAAAACAAGGAAAGTAAAGCAGGAAGTAAAGTAAGTGAGAAAGAAATATTAGACAACGAAAAAGAAAATGAGAATGCAACAAGTAAAAAAGTAGTAGTAGAAGATGAAAATAATGATAAAGATGAAGAGATTCAGAAAAACAAAGACACTGAAAAAGATGAAGCAAAAGAAGCGCAAGAGAACGCTTTACTAAAAGATAAAGAAGGTGATAATACTGAAAAGAGTACAGAGAAGGTTACGGAAAGTGGTAAAGAAACTCAAGCAGAGGCGATAGAAGCTAATGAGACTAACGGTTCTTTGGAGACTAAAGAAGAAAACACTAACTTGGCTGATGAGAAAGAAAAAATAGAAGTAAATGAAGGTGAAAACAAAACTGAAGTTATAATTCAAGAAAACAATGAAAGCAAAATCGAAAAAGACACAACAAATGGTGACAACACAAAAAGCGCACAACTCGATACAACTATGAAAGAATCTCCAGATATGAACAATGAAAAAACTGATGAAGAAAAAAGCATACAAGAAGCAACCAATGTAAACAATAAGACTGAAGAACAGGAAGTGAGTAACGCAACAAAACAAGAGGTAGTAGAAATGAAGGGAGAGCCAACAATTGAAAATGGCATAATAGAAAATGTGTTGCCACAAAATGGCGGCACAAACGATACTCCAGAACAACAAAGCAAAGAAACAGGCGAAAATATGAACAAAGAAAAATTAGAGACAATAGATGAGCATGCAATCAGCAACAGTGAACAGATGGGTGGAAAAATGCCACGCTTGCCCACAGCCAAATTGAGCAGGGGAAAGAGAAATGGCAGCGCAAAGCGAAGAGGTAGTGGGAAGAAGAAAAGCGATACGCTGGTGGAGGGCGAGAACGAAAGTGAGGGCGAATATGATGAAGACGACGAAGACGAGGTACAATATGGCATGCTCTAAAGGCATAAAAAAAAAAAACAAAAATTTAACCAAAGAAAACCTTTTGAGATAAAATAAAATCACTAACTTGCATTAAAAAGCACCCACGAGGAGATATTTTGTGAAATTTAAATAAATTTCGAAACGCAATTTTATGAAAATGTTGTTGTCTTTTTCGTGAACACTCAAAGAGACTCAAAAATTTCGGCGCGAAAAATGATCAAAATTATTGACATCGTAAAACAACAGCAAAACTTTACCTAATTGTTTGTAATCACTAATTGAAGAATGAAAAATAAAACCCAAAACCAACTGTAATAGTTCTTGTGATGTACGCTGCTGTAAACGAAAATGTAGCTAATTATATGTATACGTACTGTAGTAGCCAATGCACTACTCTTAACTATCCTATGGACTAACTATTGTACCAAACATATTTATAAAAATAAAATTTGCAAAATTTAACACACAATAATTGGACTTATTTATGTATGTGTTTGTAAAAGTGGTAGCGGTTATTTAAAACTATTATCATTATTAACAATAATGTATTTCTAAAAGCGATATAACACACACACATTTAGAAAATTATGTAAGATAATACAAATACCTATACTATGTACGTGTGAATTATTAATATATGTAAACGTTTAAACTAAATTAAAAGTGTTTTGTATTTGTGTAAAGATCACCTATCCTGTAGATACACTCCTTGTTAGTTTAACATTACAAATTACCTAGATATTACCTTTTCTACACATAATTTGCACAACTGGTAGTTCTTCTTCTTCTCCTTCTCCTTCTACCTTATGTGCGTAATTCCTTAATTTATTTACAGTAATAGAGATAAAGAAGTGGCGAGGCTTAAGTGGTTATTATATATTGATTTTGTAAAAAATTTGCTTATAAAAAGTTAAGATGTTAGTAGATTAGAGTATTTATGTCAAAACTTTTCGAAAATCACTCTTTGAATTTTTCGTTTTGCAGCGAATCGGAAAGTATAATCAATAGGTGAAAAATTTCGCATATACTCACTTCTCCTGTAGGATTTTTTCCAGTCTATTTTTGCCAAATATTCGGCGTGCACCTACAGAACTTTCTTTCCTTTACTTGTGCGTCAATTATATCTCGCTAAGGTAGGCATTAATTTGTAACTAAGTATCTGTTTCAGAAACAGAGTTAGACTAGTTTACTTTTATCAAATTAAAAACCAAAAATAGTTTTTTTTTTAATTTGTCAAGCCCTAATCTCACATTCACGTAAGCTTTATGGGAGTTGGGCAACTGTAAGCCCCCCACGTCATCTTAATTTCGAATCGGAAAGAATCGTAAGAGCTCGTATGAGTTTTTCGTGTTTTGTAAGTTATGTTTTATTTATAGTTGTGTAGATTTGGAACGATCATTGTGCGATTGGACTTTATACTCGTCCTATACTCCTTGTCGCATGTTGTCTTATAATTGGTTACATTAAATATCTCAAACTTTGTCCTTAACGGCTTCACACCGCCTGATTCAGATTGAAAAACAACGAATCTGTATTTGTTGTAGCGGCAGAAAACAGCCTTGAAATAATTTGGAGAAATTCTATCGAGCTGTTAGTCTTCGGTCGGATAAAGAAAGATAAAGTGAGATCTCGCCATCCTTTGTCACTATATGTTAGGGAAAGCAGTCGCGTTACCAGATTTGTGACGATTACAGGACGTTCCTTGAAAATAGGCGCGACGGAAATGGTCCAAGTGTGATCTGTTGATAGAGAATTAGTTACAAATATTACCCAAAGATTATATAGTTCAAAATAGATAGACAAATTATTTTCGAAATGGTCCAAGTGTGATCTGTTGATAGAGAATTAGTTACAAATATTACCCTAAGATTATAGGGTTCAAAATAGATAGACAAATTATTTTCGTTTCTGTTTCTCATTAGTCCCTGTTTTGCAGTTTGCTCTTACTATATACTTGTAATTGGACAATTTAGGTCAGTATTTGCTAAGACTTTTAAGAAGTAAGAAAAAAAATTATTTTTAGCGTAAACAAATTTTTTTTTGAGTAAGAACATAGGTACAATACATGTTCGTGAACACAGTAGTTCAAAAGCTTCAGCTGATTAATTTATGTAGCATAATTATTACCGAACCGATTTATAATTTTTTGTAAAGTGACATTATACGCAGAGAAAGGTTGAAGAGGTGTGCATATTTTTCACCTATGTATCCTCTAGCTCTTTTTAACGTGAGAAAACTTGAAATATTAAGTATTTCATTTCATTAATTTTTCATGAATTTATACTTTACATAAAATAATACAAGTACATACACCTCAACTGTACACCCATTAAATATTGGCGTAAAATCAAAATTTTTCACTTCTCGGCAGTCAATGGCACGTCTAGGCGGATATCTCTGCATCGAGAAGCTTTCTATAAATCTTCATCACTGATTCAGAAATAAATGTTCACTTCTAGAAATACTGGGTGCTTAACAAGATTGCACACTCTACTAATATGAAAAAAAACCTTGCTAAGCATCTGTGTTGTGCAAATGTATACAATATTTTCACAAAGGGATGCACGATTATTCATAATAGATTGCTTGTCTCTAAAAACTACATGATTTTTCAATTCTATAGATAGAATTATTCAAATATATTCATATATACCTAGCATGCTACTTCCTTCCCCTGAGAATTCGAGCCATGTCAAATGGCAAGCGAACATGCAAACTTCAAAATATTTCTTGCTATTTTTGCATTCACCTTTTTCATAGTGTGATTTACCATGTCAGTCACTCAGTCACTAAGTCAGTAGTGCTGGCAGGTTGCATTCATCGTTACTACATGTAGTTGCCTCCGTCATTGACACTGCCGTTGCAGCTGTTTCTCGTAACATGTGTTGCATTGCGCCAATTTATCAAAAGTGTTCGATCTTTCACCAGTTGAGGAAGTTGTAAATTTAACTCACCGCTTTACATAGACACAAACACTGGTTAATTTCCAATAGCTGCTGCATTTATGGCGTATAATTTCCCTTCAGAGTTTGATTTATTTTATTGATATTATAATAAATGATTTTAAAAAACACTATTTGATTTACATGCATTATTCCTCTTTGTTATTTTATGTAGGTATTGTAAAGTGTAATGGAAGAGAAAGAAGGCGGACATTTTTAAAATTCGAGCGTTATAATATTACATGAGCGGTTATCTGTCGGTAATTTATCTTAATGGCTTGTTATTCGCAGAAAATAGTTAAATTTTTTAAGCGATAATATATAGTTTAATATATTATTGTTAATTTTATTGAAATAAAAACAAAAGTGTTGCACGCATAAGAATCTTGCACGACTAACAATAAACGGATCTGTCTCGAAATTCAAAAGTTACTGTTTCGAGTTTGGATTAGTTTTGTCGATTATATTTTAAAAGGAAGTGCTTTAGTATTTTAGACCATATGCCCTTATGCCACATATTTTGAAATGAAAGAAGATCCTAAATAATATCTAGTAATTTCCTTAACCTGTAATTGAAGTACTATTCTGGGTATTATATTCAATATACCTGTCTTTTTGGGTTCTACTCTGTGTCACAGAGCATTCACTGATCAGTATTGAATGAGATGGATAAGAGATTAGTCCAGACTTGTTTAAGCAGTACCAATATAATATACTACAAACAGATAACTTCGGTTGCTTCGAAGTTATAATACCCTTCACAGGTGCATTTTTTATAGCATAAAATTGGATAAAAAGTTTTTTATCCCGAGTGGGATCGGTCAGTTTCTATGATAGCTAAAATCTATAGTGGTGCGATCTGAACAGATTGTTTAGAAATTGTAGCGATGCCTTCGATAATGATCCGTGTAAAATTTAAAGAAAATAGCTTATTAAATAAAACAGTTTTCCTTACACGGACTTGAGTTTGATCGATTAGTTTGTATGGCAACGATATTCCAATCTCAGCGGTTCCGTAAAATGAGCAGCTTCTAGGAGAGAAAAGGGTATGTACAAAATTTCAGATCGATATCTCAAACGGGGTCTTACAAACTGTGTGGCAAACTTAATATACCCTGTTCAGGTTATAAAAAATGAGCGATTAATGCAGTCTGATCTCTGATCTATAAATATCATATCATATATACATGTATATATATATATATATATAAATATATACCTATATATATCATCAATACTGATATTTTGATCTTCAAGCGAAAACTAATAGTAACGAAGGCATCTTTTATAGGTTAGAATGTATGAAATGGTATATATACAGAAACAATTCTTATCCTGACACAAGCTCTGAGGATCTTTATGATACCGCTGAAAAAATAAAACTGTTCATATAAACCAAAATTTTCTGAAGATATTATTTCAGTTCGACGTTCTATGCACAGTTTTCATAAAAGGTTTGAAGAAATAGTAGGCTCCTCATCTTAACCTTAAGTTATTCAAAAGAATCAAAATCGAAACAATACTTAACTTATTCAGTAGTGTTATACTTTTACTATTATTTACTATTTTCAAAAGAATTAAATAACAACAGTACACAAACACAAACTCATTTGTAGGAGGTTACTCTAGATATTGGACATTCCGCTTAAAAATTCTGTTAGCGACATCATTTCGCAAGGCATAGCATGATCAAAGTCTGTTTGAAGTTTAGAGATTTGCTATAAGTTTTTTTGTATATTCGTGGTTGATTTACGCACTGCTCCACTATGTGCTAAGCCGAAGGTTTGTTTGATTTGTTTTAATATTTAGCTTAGTTGTAGATTACTGTATTCTTTCAATAAAATCTTCGTGTACAAACACAAACAAATCTTTTTCTTATTTAGCACCGTAGTTAGTTGTTATTGTATTTGTTTTCTATTCGTTAACAAAAAGTAGTGCTAAAGCTGTGCTGTATTTTGTAGAATTTGAATAATTTTTCAAAAAAGAAACAACATTTGTAGAATACTAGGAGTGTTTGTGAGTTTAAAATCCGAAGCCTTTTGTGATCAACGAACATTTTTCACTTAGCAAAAACACGAACATGAAAACGAAAACGAAGCAGCAACAGACAGTGAAAATGAAACTAATAACGGATACGAATCGGATAATGAACCCGCACCCGATACCGCATCCGAACACGAAGCCGAGTCTGAAGCCGAAAACGACGACGAGGTGCAAGTAATTACAGATCCACAAACAGCCGATAAGCTGGATGAAAATCACAACGAAGATAAATATGGCAACGGTGATGTCGCCAGTTCGCCGACTTCATCGCTGGCCATTGAGGGCTTTGTGAGTGGCGCGTCGGAGGATAATAGAGTTCAGTCGCAATCCGCTGCTTACGTACACGAAGTATTAACGCTAAGCATACAAGTTAATTGCTGTGAAGTCTTTATTCGTTATCAGTTATGATTTAGTTATTTTATTACTTTTTATTTTTCTTTAGTTTGAAAGTAGTAAGTGTCGTTGTTTTGGGCTAAAAAAAAAAAAAAAAAATAATGCTGTGGTATTTAATTAATAAATTTAATTGCTAATAAATGATTTTATTAATTTGGCTTTTTGGGTTTTCTTCGGTAGTCTTGGTTGTTTTTGTGTCTGTGCGTTTTCATGTACGTTTTGTTGTTGTAACAAATTTTAATCCAACTTTTGTGCTTGCTTACTAAAACCCGTGTTATAACTCAAGCAGTCAGATGTACGTGGAGCCATCGAGGCCGGTGACATGGAACAATTAGCGCAAATTGTACTCAACGGTGATGGTAAAAAGCTGATGAATATGCAGTCCAATAATCCGGACATACAGGCGTTTCTCAGTAATGTGCCCAATTATATGGTGAGTGTGGAGGATTTTTAATTCTAAAATAATTTTTTTTTATTTATATACAAGTTTTTATATAAAAATAAGCGTTAAAATGTTCAAAATTTTCATTTTTTTGCACAAAATTTTTTTTTTTATTTAATAAAATAAATTTAATTGCAAAGATTATCAAAAGAATAAAACTTTTCTTTAAATATTTTGTAAAAAATTGCATTTACTTTTCTGAAATAGAGCAAAATTCGACGTGTGCATGAAGCGGCTCGCGAAGGTAGTCTGTTGGCTTTGCAACAAGCTTTGGATCGACGAAAGTTTGCCATTGCTAAGGATGATATCTCACCTAACGGTGCAACACCACTGCATGTGGCCGTGCTCTTTGGTAATACAGGTGAGTTATTCTATACATATGGACTTATTTTCGGACAGTTCGAATATATTTTTGGGAGCAGACTAAAAATAAAAATTATGTTAAAAATATACAATACATATTTATAAAAAAAAATTCTCAATCAAAGAAGCGGAAACCGAAATTAACATCTGATAGTCTCTAAGTATATATATATATATATAAATGATATATATATATGGCAGTTTTATTGCATGAGGTCTTATGTAAGGTCTTCAAAACCGTTCCTAATGGTCAAAAACAAAATTATATTGATTCTAAAACCAAGCTCTATTGGTACGAATCGCTTAAAAATACTACTGTTCTACTTTAAATTATGTACACAAGTGTGTTTATTATCGGCATTCTAAAACTGCATCTTACCTTGAAACATATATATTCTACACAGACATTACCCTACATACAAACAATTATTGATTTTATAAAACTTTTTAAAACAAATAAAACTTTTTAATTCACTCATCGAAGTATATGTACCTTTATTGCTATAGAAACATATTAAATTTTTCTGATTAATGACTTTATATTTTTCATTTTTTATCTTCTTCCACAGATATTGTGCGGTATTTGGCGGCACGTTTTCCAGAAACCACCACAATCACCGACAATGATGGACGTACAGCGCTACATTATGCCGCCACAATTAATGATAATGGACACTTTTACAATGTACTCACACAGCTTGGTGTCAACAGCAAAGCTTTGGATAAGGTAAGTGTCAAAGTTTTTGTTAAAAATTGTTTTATTGTGCTCGAAAACTGTTATTGCACTTCATGCATACGATGAGCGATAATTGCGAATAGTATGAGGAGTAGTGTTTCAAAAATTTATAGAAATTGGTTATATGCACTCAGCTACCCAGCCAAAGTGCTTATTTAATCGAGTATTTAAATTCATATGCATATTTGTGTAATGCAGAATTGTTACTCATACGCATTGGCTTCATGTTATATTCTTTATTTCTATAGAAAACTAGATCAAACGATTGTATAAAAGTTAGTATCAAATTAGAATGGGGAGTGCATGATTTAAATATTGATTAAATTTCAAACATTGGACAAGATCACTATAGGATATAGCTGCCAAACAAACTGTCCGATCTAATTCAAGTCCTTGTATGGAAAACTTTTTTATTTTACAAACTTTCTTCAAACCAATTTTTCTCCGAACAAATTGTTAATAACGGACCACTATAGCATATACCGCCATTCTAGATCTCATAGATTTTATGCTCCTTTATGCTGTAAGAAATGCAGCTATGAAGCGTATTATAGCTTCGGTGCAGCCAAAGTTAAAGTGTTTTCTTGTGGTGTTGAGTTATCAATCTATCTGCTTGCCTGTAATGATTTTTCTAAGCTTGCGGTCAACTAAGTTGACCTATATATTGAAACTAATTCCGTATAAAATTTTAGCCTGCCTGTCATAAATATTCCGTACTTTTTCTATACAACCTATTTATTAATTTCTATATTTCTCTCGAGAACAGCTAACTATTAATTCTACTTATATCTTGCCACTAGAGGCACACCACGTCGTATGAGTAACATATCAGCAGTAATTTTCCCATTTAACAACCCTAATTAAGTATATATACATATACAGTATGCATATATATACTATATATATATATATATAAAATCGTGAATAGCTTAATAATAGCGTCGAAATATGTTATGTAAATATGAGAATGGTATTTTCTTGTTTTCCACTCTCATTAAAAATGCAGCTTGGGAACACGCCTGAGTTCTATCAACACAAAGACGAAGAAGCCAAAGATATACTCAACTATAAAAAGTTATTGAGCAATTTTGGCGCAGAAGAGCTGGAGGATGAACTGCTGAATGATCAAGGTAAGGCGTCGTTTATATATCTATAATATTTTATATAAAAAAATAAAAATCATGCATGCTATTGTATCTACACAAAGGTTACAATAACTAAAAAAATAGCAGTGGTGAGCTTTGCTTAGCGGTTATCTCGCTGCCTTATGGGTTTTTATTTCTTATTTTTCCGTACTTTAAATGTGTGTGTATTTTCAAGAAATTGCGCACTTGAGTAAATATATTCTTTTTTCATTTATATGTTTTCCCTTTTGAATGAGGCGAAAAGTAGTTCTCAAACACCCCATCTTGATTTGCCTTAAATTCCTTTTAACACGCTGGATATGTGGGTTTTTCTAATAGTTTCACATATCCACACACACAAATACACCAAACATCATCACTCATCCACACTGCTGTCGTTTTTAGTATAACAGTTTGTGTTTTCCTCTTGCAGACGGTTTGTGGGCGTTACGGTAAACTTCATTAGTTCATTTTAAATTAATAATTTTATTTGCTTTAGCGGTTGCAGCGGTTACTTTCGCTTGCGGCCTTATTTTTTGAATCAGCTTTTAGCTCGGTGTAGAGCTTTACAGGCAACGATTGCTGCCGAGTGCAATTGCTAACACATGTTTGTACATAAAGACAGACTTTTTTGTATGGATGTGTATAAATTTGTTTTAGGAAATTATATTGACTTTTTAAAGTTGTTTTTAAATGGGATTAAAATTTTCACCACCTTTTTGTGGTAAAACTGAAATACCAATAATTGTTTAAGCGGGAGTTTATTCATAAAAAATTTTTTTTAATGTTTCCAGAACTCCGATAATGTGTTTTCGAACTGTCGTATTTACTTGACAAGAAAAAATTGCTCATGATCGTATTTTTAGCTTTGGCTAATGTGACGTTAGCAACTGTGAAATAGCGTAATATACACACAAATAATAATAACAGTCGGGATTATAGAATTTGTAAAGACGGTTTTAGTGACTTCAATACTTTTATAATAAATTTTGAAAGACGTTTTTTTACAAGCAAAAGCTGTTGACCTTGTTTGACTCTTCCAAAGTCGCTAATGTGACGTAAAAAATTTTAAATTATCAGGCGTGTTTTAGAATACGTTGAAAAAATTTACTAAATAAACACAGTTCACTAAAAATAAAATGTTAACAATAAAATAATAATTGAAATTTAGTTGGAAAATATATATTGGGTAATGTTGAGTCGCCGTTCTGTTCTCTGTTAGAGGGAAGACCTAGTGTGATAAGCAAATGTAAAAAAAATCTTAAAGCGATCTTTTTGTATCAGAGTAATCCCTTAGCGAATTCGAAAAATGCCTTATAAAGAAAAAGGCGTTTAAAAATCAACTGGTGGACCTGATTTAACTGAGCTCAAATACTATTTAGGATCAATTTAAATCTTTAATATATGATTTTTGTGGGTATAGCTTATCGAAATATGAAAATCGATTTTTTTTTTAATTTCAAATTAGATGTAACTCTAAAAACCATAATCCCTAGCGGCCACACAGAAGAACTAAACAAGTATACTTATCCTTATATACATATATAATAAATAAAATAAATATATAAATATATATCATATATACATATATATATACCATATAATCATATAACTACGTATGTAGTAAACTCAGCCGTGTGTTTACCTATATGTATATTATACATATGTACGGAATAAATGTATTTGTATTGGAGAGTCGTGTGCCTTTGCCGCTGTCAGTCATTGATTTACTGTTGTGGTCAACACACGTCTGCTTGCGGTTTTTCTGGTTTTTCTGGGTCACAATTGATTGCGTTGACCGCCTTTCCTCGTGCCTTGTGTTTACCTCGTTTATTGTGTAATTAGTGTACCGGTGGCAACCGTTAAAGCGAAGTGTACCATTTTTTTACTAATTATTTGTTAGTTTTCAGCTAATAAGCTTATCATAAAATCATAAAATCAGCAAAAATGTCGCGAGCAATCGGCGATCGTGAGTTTTTCAATAGTCTCATCAATAATATTGACGACATTTTTGGTATGTTTGCATAAATTATAAATACTATATTGACGGAATTAAATAAGAATTTTTATAATAATTATATTTACAAGTGCGAAGTATTGCACAGAAACTTGCTTCGCGTTGATTGTTTTCATTTATCCTTCAAATCTTCCTCTTTTAAATGTGTATTTTTCAAACGGTTTTTATTGATTAACTCAAAAAGCACAAAGTCAATTATTTATGAATATTTAAACAGATTTCCTTGTGTTGTGCTGTCGAGCGCTTTAAACTAATAAAATATTAATCCAATATTTAGTGACGTTAGCTTTGCAAGGCTTATTAATAGTAAGTGTCATGTGAGAATTGAGAGCAAATTGACCGCAGTGCTCTAACTTCTTAGAACACTTATAATAAACCGCAATTAAGCGAAGAAATACGGCGTTCTATATATATATATATAGTAGCAGCTGAGGATTTGAATATGGTTGTAAACTCAGTTCAGCGATATTTAAGGACATTTCACTTGATTGAGTTTGTGTTTTTTTTTAAACTAAACTCTCTTTACTCTTGTTTATGCAAAATATACATACCGAGAATGATACCTGACTGTACAGTTTGCTTGGCTAAAAATCTGTATCATATATTGAGCCTATAAATATATATATATATATAAGAGGTTCCCATCATTCTGGAAATTCGTGGATTTTATACTAAAATAATTGTGTCTGCGTGTCGGCCAAGAATGCAAATTTTTGTTACCCTATTCTGTTGTGAACAAATACTATTCAGAAGAAGCATGATTTAAGCTGTACGGCGGGTGAGGCAAAACTGGACAGCAGCTGGTATCCAAATAGTTTTTAACCGGTCTTGTAACATGAGGCCACAAGTTTTCAACATGGCAAATTAGTTGTCTCGTGTCTGGTCGCAAATTCTGTTCGTCTTTCACCAATCGCTCACTTCAATTTGATAAGCTGTTGTCGGTAGCATTCCTTCATATTGGCTTAATTCAGTTTTAGTTTCTGTTGCTACTAAATACGGAGCATTACCTTGGTGTTATGGATATTCGGCTTTGCCGTTGACTTGGCTCATGGATCCAATTTTCAACACTAGTCACATTCCGATGCAAATATTGATATCTTTTTGTAGCGTTCAAGTAGCATTTCTGACATGCAATACCGTTTTTCAAAGACCCTTGGTTCAAATTCAAATGGCACTTAATTTCCTTGCTTTTGAATGCCTTCTTAATAAAGAACCTTATTATTTAATTATTTGAATAGAACAATGTTTTAGGCAAAAAAAAGGCAAGGAATGGAAACTACAAACATGGAGTTCCTATCGCCGATTTATTTTATAACATACATACGAGATACCTTAGTAGTTGGTCTTTTGTGATTTTATTTCAAATTCAAAATAATTTAATTTTGTTCATGAGAAATTTTAAAATAATGTGGAATCCATTAAACTCAACTCATGCTATATGTTTAGTATTAGTAAATATGGATTGTGCAAAGCTTTTCGCTTATTTTTTGTGTTAAATTATTGCTCGTATTTAGCACTTAACTGTTTCGTCTGCACTTTTCTCAATTCCTTTTTTTTTTGCAGTAAGTATATCTCTTTCGCCTAAATGTTGCTTATTTTGCTTAAATGATGAATACAGTGATTATAATAACCTCTCATAAATTTTACTTTCTCCCTCATCTACGCATTACCATATGTACCCGCACACTTTGTTTCTATCTCTCTTTTTCTCCTTAACTTTTTTCAACAACCGCATACATTCATCGCACCTCCAACAAACAATAAAACTAACAACCCTCACTAGTACCAGATGATCTGCACAGCTCGAGGCGACAACTGCAAGATGTCGATATTAATCGTACACTCGATCGTTGCCTCAGTGTAATCGAAGAGTCGAGCAAAGTGCTGAGCGGGTCGGCAGCTTCAGCGCTGGCGCATCGTAAGCCATTGACTGCCTCGACGCTACAAGTGTCGGTCATAAGCTATTTGAGTCGCTTTCTAAAACGTAGCGTATTCGAGAAGATACGATTGCGACAAACGCGACTCGATCACAATCTCTTCGATATTATTTGGCCCTCAATGCGTAAGACTTCGAAAGTGCGTCTACTCGAGGAGGATATAAATTGTGGCGTCATAGCGCCGGATTTCGATGTGTTTGTCGTCTTTCAGGAGTTTCTCGTGCCACTCATTAAAGATATGCATTGCATGAGTATAAATGAGGATTTTAAACCACATCCGCGCATTGCTTTCTTTCCGATGGAGAATGGCGTGCGGCTCAATACGGCCGGCTTTATTTTTGATGACGAATCAAATCTTATACAACGTTGTACCGTAGAGTGTTCAAGAAACTTAGAAGGTTTCGAGTTGCCCGTTAATTTGACAATTGGACAAGTGGAACAGGCCGAACGCATGATTATGAGTAAAATATTCACTAATCACTTCGTTGAGGCTATCGGTGAGACCGAGTCGGGCAGCTATTATACATTAACCGAGATACTGGAGGAGAACTCCGAAATATATGCAACGCTGCAGCAGTTGGGTCTCTTGATACCGCTGCTGGATATGAAAGATACAGTGCAGGGAGCCGAATCGTTGGCTATCAATGGCAACCTCTGGCCTTATGGACGTGGTGTATACGTTAACTCGGCGAATAATTTGGCACTTTGGTTAAACTGCCAGGAGCATTTGCGCGTGATCTCCACATCGAGTGGCGCGAATGCCGCCAATATGGGTGCGGCATATACGCGTGTTGGACGCGTCATTTCGTTTCTGGAACGTGAGCTACACTTTAAGGAGAGCTATTTTTTGGGTTATCTGCAAGCGCGTCCATCCTACTTGGGTACAGGCTTAAAATTTACAACAACAATTAATCTGCCAAATCTGATGAAAGAAGTGGACAATTTGCGTCATCTGAGCTTGGTGCGTGGTCTGAATCTCATCACTTGCGCTATGTCCAAATCGGATGTACAGTTAGTGAATATGCAGAGCTTGGGTGTAATCGAGTATGTGCTCTTTCAAGACTACTGTACGGCGGTGACGAATATTGTGTCGCTGGAGAAGGATATGTCCCTGACGAACTCGAAGCACATCGCCTCGATGTTGGTGAAAATATTTCGTCGCAAAAAGAATAGCCTAGTGGATCGTAACTAGTATTATAGCAGTCGTGTGTGAGAAGAAGGAATGGAGTTTAAGTAATTAAACCAAAATATATAAAATATTAATAATCAGCATCAAAATGCGTCGTCATAAGTCATTAAGATATGCCAAATACAAATATTCACACCAAAGCATTAAAAACCTTCTACATATTAATACATACCTACATAAGTGAATTCTACAAAACATAAAGGCATAATTTTTCACTCTCGATAAAACTGTAAATATAATTGCATGAGTACTAAATTTCAATGCTTTCGATAGCGGCTCATCCCTAATACTCGAACACTCTTCTGAGACTTTGTGGGTTTTGAACATTTGAATAACAACAAATGCGGGTTCGTACATTTTCTTTTTAACTCATAACACATTAATTAGTCTTCACTTCTGTGTCCTGTTTCTTTGTTGATATATTTTAATTTTTGGTGCAAAAAATCGTGTTTTGTCGAAACGTCCAAGAACAATTTTCTTTTGGTTGCCATTTCTGTTTTGAATTGCTCAATATTTTTTTTTGTCTAGACTGTAATGCTTTTTATGACTTGGATACTTCATAAGATTTCATCGAGCTACACATCTGGGTTCATATGTATGTTACCTCTAAGCTCTGTAATTTTTCAAGATTTAGCTGATTCAATTATCGATACTTACATCATGATACTTTTTGGTGATTTTAAATTTCATCCATTTAATTTGGTATATGTATTATAACAGTCGTTTCGTTTATTATAACAGAAATTATCGAAAATACCATAAATCGGCCTTTGAGTTGCCCATTAATCTCAAAAGAGCTCTCTAAAAAGGGTTAGTTAAAAATCACTTCGTATCCGAAAAAAAATATTCTATATAATCGAAACACTATTAAAACTGTCATTTCGAGTCGGAGTTAGCGTCATCCAAATCTTTCATATTTAGAAAAGATCCACCGAAGTTTGATTTAAAGGGGTCTTGGAAGATCTTCGAGTTGGTATCGTTAATAACTAAAATAAATATTCGGAAAATATTTATCATCGCTTCATGGTTCAGTTTCTGGATTAACCTCAAATTTATCCAAAAAGTACTGAGACAAAAGAGTGTTACTTAACTCTTATTGCTCAAAAAGCCACTATTGTATATTATGTACACGTAAGACCGTTAAACATACCAATTAGAGCCAGTATTGGCTTCATCTAGATCTTTCATATTAAGATTATTTTCAAAAAAGTTGTAGTTATAAGCTTGTGGGGAATCCTTTAGTCTTAATTGTCAAAAAAAAATATTCAATCCTCGTTCACCACCAGTGATAAAGTAAGATTTAGTTCCTTATAATATTCTCATCTGAGATTCATTGTGAGAATCACAAAGTTCTTCTATAAACATTATTAATACCAAGGTCTCTCTTAGATGACCAGACTTTTCTTTACGAATCGGGTGATAATTATTCATGCAATCAAACACCGGGTTGTTGCTATGATTGTTTCAGTATTACAATGTATGCCACAAATAGTGTTTGCGAATACTGTAGACCGGATCGTTTTTTGTTCATCTAGACTCCAATGTCTACCAATTCCAATGTTTCTTCGTTCCTCAAATAAATTTGAATGACAGTGCTTCACCGCTTTCTTCCAACTTTTACGTTGATTCGTTACTTAGGATTAAATTAATGTATATGAACTGTTCAGACGCTTCTTTTAGAGCTGGTTGGCACAAGGGTTATCACTGGAAAACAGAATAACTAGGGCAAATAGAGTCGAGAAGCAGAAAGAAAGCTTACTTTTAGAGAGATTGGAGAGTATTCTAAGCAATATTTGAATAAAATAATGAGGAGAACGCATTTAAAAATGGAAATTAAAATTGGAAAATAATTTTTAGACATCTAACTAGAATTTGACAAAATAAATTTTGCAGAAACTAGTTCAAGAAACGATGCCGACATTTGCGAGAAGTCTAGAGGTATTGGTCTTGAAATTCGAATGAAAATGAAGCAAATAGTAGTGTATGTAATCCATGTAATGCAGTTGATGCTAATACTCACTGATGGATAAGGGATTTTTCACAAACTCATCTCATCTGGTTAGCAGATTCTACTTCAATGCACATTTTTCTTACAAAAATGTTTCTGTAATTTCAATTATTTCGCTTTTTCAAACTAAAATTTCGGCTTACATAAATGAATATTGTAAACAAAATATAATTTTAAAGCTGAACAATACATTTAGTGCAACTTTAATTCATTTTCAGGTCAAGCTGAAAATGGCGGCAGTCAAATGAACCCCATTTTTAAAACGGAGCAAGGCAAATATTTAGCGAACAGTGAGTTAACTTAATAATAAGTTCACTTGGCAACATTCATATTCTTCACTTTTCCATTTTCAGATCTCGCTGATCCGCTCATTAAAGCTCTTACGGAAATCGCCAACAAACGACCGGAAGACCCCGTTGCATTTCTCGCTAATTATCTGCAAAATTATCTACACAAGCGCGATCCCACAGAGACGAGTAATAGTGGCAAGACAAACTCCACCGCAACAATAACGTCCCACACAGGCATGGTGCGACGCACGGGCACGGGTTTGCGCAGTGACAGCAATATAAATGGCGTTGAGGATCGCATTGAAGAAGATCATATTTCGAATGCCGATGAGGACGAGGAAACGCTAGCAAATGTTGATGATCGCGATGAGCATGGACAAAGTATGCTACATTTCGCATGTGCGCGTTCACATCGACGCGGTGCGCTAATGCATCTAATTGAGGAATCGAATATCGATATAACATATCGAGATGAATTGTATCGAACGGCGCGTGATGTATCGCTACAGGCGAATCAACCATCGAATGCGAAAGATATCGATCGTTATGTGTTATCGCTAGCTGTGATTGGTGAGTGAAATAGAATGAGTTGTTGGGGAAAGAAGTGAGTGTGATTATGAGAGTTAGAGATGGACTAGCAGAGAAAGGGAAGCTTATATCAAGAGTAATCAAAAAATTATGGTAGAATAAAGTAAGAACAGAGGTAAAGATTGAGGTGAAATATATCCTCTAGAAAGCTATATAGAGAGGAGAATGAGAGAGGATCCATAGCTGGGGACAACAACATGAAAAAACTTTTACTTCAAACTGAAATTGAATATTTTAATCGACAAATTATCGATAAATTGTGGTTTTCTCTGACGGTGTTAAGCCATTCGTAATACTCTCGAGTTACAGAGAGATAGAGATAATAAATATGTAAATAAAGAAAAGAAGTTATATTAGAAAAACATTTAACAGAAAATTGAAAAAGAAGATGAAAAGTAAAGGAGAATTAAGAGAGTAAAAGTGGATATATTAATATTTTTGTCGAATCTATTTTATCTATTCTTTGTTATCATTGCAGGTGATGTTAAGCCATTCGAAATGCTCGCTGCGGAAGGCTATGATCACATCGTAGACATTACCGACGACAACGAATTAAGTATAGTGGAAATAGCTGTCGAGCGTGAACACGAAGAGCTTGCGAACTTTCTACGCAATCTGCGCACATTGGAGGTAAGTAAATGTTTATTACATATATTATATTTAAGCCTCTTCTGGTTATACGTTTCACAGGAATTGCGCGAAGAATTACATCAAATGATAAGAGATGGTAATGTCGGACGTGCGAAGGAAATCGTAGCAGAGCCGAATGGCAAATGGCTCTTAAAAGCCAAAAACTACTATGGTAATTTAAAATGTCAATAATAAAAATTCCAATAGCAAATGCAATCTTTCTATTTACTCACCAGGACGCACAGCTTTGCATATTGCAGTTTTGAAAGAGAACGAAGAAGTCGTGGAACATTTTGTAAATATCTATCCGGAAGCTCTGAAGATTGGTGATAATGTAAGTTGGGCAATTAACAAAATGTTTTGCAAAAGAGCAAGTAGGTAAAATTATATGGCTACCTACTCTACTTTCAGCTGGAACGCACTGTCTTGCACTATGCCATGGGCACGAATGCCATCGAAAGCTTAAGTCGCATACTCATACAAAAAGGTGCCAAGCGTACAACTAAAGATCTGAAAGGACGTCAGCCAAGTTATTACTTTATGAATAAAGCCGATATTTTGCGTTTGCAAGAGGAAGAGGAGGAGAACCGTTAAATACTCACAGTGCATATAAGTGTAATAGGCAGGGTTGCATTTGCAATAAAAAATAGAAGCTCATATTTTAAGTTTGCCAGAGTTAGAAGAGGAAAACCGTTTGTATTGTAATGAGCAGGGTTGCATTTTTAATACCAATGTGGTTAATTGAAATTCTAAATAGTTTAAATATTTAGTTAGTTGGTGTAAAATGTAAATTTTGTAAGTGAATCGTCAACAAAAGTAGGCGAAAATATTTCATTTGTGCAGTTGTGTATGGGAAATTATTAATAAATAGCATTGTAAGCAATATCTCTAATAAAAGCAATAATTTTAATAATATTTTCGATATGTAGTGAAATATTAAAATCGTAATCTTTTTTTTAGAAATTTAAGCAACAAAAAATTTGTGTCAAATTATAAATGGAAAATTTAATAAAAAATTTGTTTATGCAATATATCGAAATATTTCAGAGAATAGCAAACAGCGGCTCTATTTTCAATAAAGCATTGAAGATAAGTCTAGATTTAAGCCTATATTTTATCAGCGACACTGGCATACATACATTTAGCACTAGAAGTACTTGTATTTATAATGCGGGTTTACCGAAATTCTATACACGATAAATTGTAGTTTTAAAGTAGTTTGAAATATTAAAATCTTAGTTGGTAGTAAAAAGCATAAATAAATAAATGCAAAAACTCATTTAAAGTTATACTTTTTATTTTCGTTACTATAATTAAGATAAAACGTTAACTGCACCGAAGCTATAATACCCTTCACAAATAAAAAGTTTTCCATTCAAGATCTTCATTTTAATCGATTAGTTATTAGTTTGTATTTGCAGCTATATGCTATACTGGTCCGATCTGAAAAATATATTCGGAGATTATAGCATTGTGTTGGGCAATAATTCATGCTGAATTTCGTGAAGTTTTCCATACCAAGACTTGATTTTAATCGCTTACTTGATATAGCATCTGTACCCTAAAATCTAATATTAAAATCTATATATATTAGATTGATTAGTGAAGACACTGATCATGCTCAGTCTGAAAAACTTTCAGTTGTAAGATATCAGCAACCTTTAGTCGCTTTATGATGCTCAAAACGCTTTGCTTATACCTATATGATAATCTTAGCTCTTGATCTATACATTGAAGTTTCTGGTATAACAAAGGGACGCATGTTCAACTATACTTGTAGTATAAATATAAGTGAAATCACTGCCTATCCGAAGGCATCTTCTGCATTAAAATAAATCTGCTATCTGATGGATAAACCTCCGCTAGACAATATTTTAGCAGTAGAATTCTGATGACAGAGAAAGAAATTTTGTGGAAGTAAGGGGTGTTTCAAAATTATTAAAGTATTTGGTATGTGAAGGAGAGATGGAGATGAGCGCTTGGAGTCGATTTAATGAAGAAAAAGAGTGTATTGAGCGTAAAAAGTAGAAATAATTGCCTGAAGATTAGATGCAGATAAAGAGTAAATTTCGCAAAAGGGTCAACTTGTAAAACGTATACTGTTAGATGAATACGAAGTTGGTTAAGCATCGTATAATGAAATATATTAGAAAAGGGTGAATTAGGACAAATACGCATACATGAAGGGTACAAGAATTTGAGAATAAGAGAAAAAAGAAAGCAGAAAATTGTCTGATTCGAGATGTCAGACTAGTGACACCTGTGCGAACGCAATGAGCGCCTCCAAAAGAGAAAATGCCGATAATGAGCGATAAATAGGTACGTGTGTAAACCCAATCAGCCAGCTTATCTTCTATTCGTCACCTCTCTGCTCTCTTGTTAAAAACCTTGTTTTTAATCCAGTTGTGAGAGAGAGAGAGAGAGAGATGAACAGTATATGCCAGTCTTGCGTTCGATTCGCCACTCTCTCAGTTTGGACGAATCGTGTAGTCTGTTGCTTAATCGGTTCTGGTTTGATTTTCATAACAAAATTGCTGTGCAAGTTCAAAAATGATGTGGTTTTTTCTTGCATCATCATTTTGACTACATACTTGATGTAATTATTGAATAGCAGATTAATTTTTAAGTACATAGTAACACAGTTGACAACAAATATTATTATTTATTACAAAGTAACTTTGAGTACTTGACATGGAAAATAATAATACTTTTATATATTTGAATTAAAATATTAACTAATTCTGAAATATGTAAGTGGGTGCTTGAAATTTACAAATATATTAGGTGTAATTGCCGTTGTCTAAGTTGTTTTAACGCATACTGAAGATGTGAAACCAAAATAAATAGATATAGTCGCTGGTAGGTAATGATTACTGTTCGTACTGTGTAAGTAAGTATGTGACACGTGTAAACAGAAATGTGTTCAAAACAATAGAAGAGCAGACAGCTGAAGTGTCAACTACTTGTATTGTAGATAAAATACAAAAACTTAAAATAGACTTTTACAGCCCGCATATATTGTTGTTAACTGATAAAATAAATCGCAGAGTAACAAAAGTAATCACCATTCGATTATAGCGAAAGTGATTGCATCAGATTTTCCCACACAATTTGTACCTTTTTTTGATTACTGAGTATTTTGTAGATTTTTGAAATAAATTAATTGAACTTATAGTGAACAAGCTGTGTATTTATCAAGCTTATCGCTTATCACTAAGAGCCGGCAGTCGATAATATAATGAACAAGTGTGCGCTTTTTTTCTCAATGGCCTACAATATGTTTACCCTGAATAGGGTGTATTAAGTTTGTCACAAAGTTGGTAACTCGCAGAAGGAAACGTCTGGGACTAATAAAATATAAATATAAATTATTTGTGTGACGACAGAAATTGATTTAACCATATCCGTCTGTCTGTACATATGCGACCTACTAACTCAGTTTTTCAGATATTGCTCTGAAATTTTGTACACGTTCTTTTCTTCCCAAGCAGCTGTTAATTTATCGGAACTGCCGATATCAGACTACTGTAAGATATGGCTGCCATATAAACTGAACGATCAAAGTCAAGTCTTTGTATGGAAAACATTTTTATTTGACGCGATATCTTCATGAAATTTGGCTTAAATTATTTTCTAGAGAAACTCTAAATTATGCGAAAAAACTTTCTCGATTGGAAAACTATAGCATATAGCTATCATACAAACTGAACGATCAAAGTCAAGTCCTTGTATGGAAACTTATTTTATTGATATTGTCAAAGGCAACGCTACTATCTTCGAATATTTTTTTTTTATCTCACCACTTTAACCTATAGCTGTCATACAAACTGACCAGTCGAACTAAAGCTCTTGTATGGCAAATTTTTAATTGTGTAGGGTATTCTAGTTTCGGTGCAAGCAAAGTGAACGTGTTCACATGATTTTTATAAATTCTCTATAGTTATTATCACACACCGCCATTCGTCTGTTCAAATAGGCGATAGCTTAATTAAACTAATTGGTATGCAAATAAATAATAATAAATAAAATCTGGCTTTGAGCAGAAAGGAAACAGCTGTGAAAGGCGAATATATAACAAAATATTTGAATACAATTGCACTTATCAAATTTCAGATTATTTTGTTTGCGGCCGTCTGTAATAACGTATTAATTATGATTGCTGTCGGTAGTCACGAGTCAATACTATTTGTTATGCATCTTCCTTCTGTAAAGAGGTATCACCATTAAAAAAAAACAACGAAATTTTAGGTAAAATTCAACCTTTTTTGTTGAATGCCAATATTTTGTCAGTTTGTATTTTTTTCGACCGTAGGTCATTGCGGCCATATGTTTTAGTAAAGATTGTTTGGAGATTGTGCAAAATATTTATTTATTTTTTTGTTCAAAATTTTTATTGTGCATTCTTAAAATATGTATAAATATGCCATTAAAAAATTTAAAACAATTGATACGGCATTTTTTGTATTGAATTTTCCAAAATTGCCTTTTTAGCTGTCACTCTAATTATGCCGCGTAATGAAAGTAAGTGCTCATGTTCTCTTGGTTCTAGTGTGGTCTGATGGAAAATAATAGACAAAAATGGTTGAGTACTTCCTTTAGTCCACGTATATCTCATATAATGATTAGCAAAGTTTCAGTTGACTATATACCGCATATCTTGGAAAATATGTAAGGTATCTTAACAAAGTTAAGTGGTAGCATGTTCTTGGATAATCTGTCGATTGCTGCTTAAAATGTGGTCCGTCAGCTACATATAATGATTTTATTTTTTCAGATTTTATATTGAACACGAAAATCTGGAAAACCCCTGAAAATATCTAATATGCCTTTAGTTCTTAAGCTCAGCTGTGTTCCCACTTAGCTGCTCCTTGTCTGTTTTTCATACTACAATATTTATAATTTATCAAAAAAAAAAAAACAATGTCATCATAATAAATTTGTTAATTGTTTGGCTTTAGAAAGTAATAAAGTAAATAAGCAACCAGTGTTGATTAAAAATAATTCCAAATCGGGAAAACCCATTGGAATTTGTGCTTATAAATAATACCTACGCATTGCGATTAATGAAATTTCATTTTGCGTTTCACTTTTATGAGCTGTGATTCAGTTTCCACCAGTTGACTGAGATGTCAACCAAACACGTATGCAAATCTGACAGTTAACTTTAAATCAAGTCGATTATAAATATGAATTGATATAGAAAAAAACCAGCATAAATCAAATGTGAAACACCTGTATTTGATTCATGCGTTCTGTGTGTGTTTATATACATAAATACAAAAAAAAACTATAAAGTTCGGGTATGCAAATCCTTGATATGATACGGATAATGTATTGTTACAGTGTTAAAAAGAACAAGAAAAAACGTTAACTTCGGTTGAGCCGAAGCTATAATACCCTTCACAAATACAAAGACCCCTTACAAGAACTTAATTCCGAACGTTCAATTTGTATGGCAGCTATATTCTATAGTCATCCGATCTATACAATTTCTTCGAGGATTGGATTTATGCCTTAAATAATATTACATGCCAAATTTCGTGCAAATACCTCGTCAAATGAAAGAGTTTCTCATACAAACACTTGATTCCGATTGTACAGTTTGTATGGCAGCTATATGCTATAGTGGTCCGATATCGGCCGTTCCGACAAGTGAGCAGCTTCTTTATTAGAAAAGGAAAGGTGCAAAATTTCAGATCGATAGCATAAAAACTGAGGGACTAATTTGTATATATACAGACAGACGGACAGACGGACAGACAGACAGACGGACATGGTTAAATCAACTCAGCTCATCATGCTGATCATTTATGTATACATTTTATAGGGTCTCCGACGTTTTCTTCTGGGTGTTACAAACTTCGTGGCAATCTTAATATACCCTGTTCAGGGTATAAAAAGAGATTTGTATAAACATACGAGTATGTATGTATATACGAGTATATGTATATTTTTTTTAACATCTATTGACACTTCGCTTTAGAAGCTAATTTGTATGTAACCTATGCCTATAATAAACGCTAATTTTTTGCTTTACCCCATACGATTACACGCTTAATGAAAACCTGATAAAAATGGTGCCTTTACATCGCTACCGGTGCAGTCCACTTCACAGTTGTTGAGACTGTTTACCAACTCCATAAGCACTCATATCTCTCTGCACATCCAAGTTATTAAGTTCAGTATACTTTGTATTATTGACGCGCTTGACGATTACAACAACTGCATGGGAAATGTAATGATTACCCATAACACACCATAGTTTGGTGGGGATTAGTAACCCATTCAACGTAATCAGCAAATCAAAGTACACACACAAATATATAGTGGTGTTTATATACCTATACCTATAGCATATATACATATACTACATAGTACATAAGTATTATACGCATGCTCGATTGGTTTTGGTTATCTTGGTCGTGCAATGGTCGAGATTTTGATTTATATATTTAATAAAAACCTTAAAAGATTGTTTTATTAGTAATCGTTTGTAGGCAAAATCGGCTGCAAAAAGCTTTCTCATTTCTGTTTAGTGTATTATAGGCGAGTTCGTGTTCGATTGCCTTAGCAGCTGGTTGGTCAGTTCTCGCGTACACCAGATATACCCAATCGAGGATAATAAGGTTTTAGTTGGAGTTGTAAAGTGTTTTGACAAAATGACCGCAGATATAAATAAAGGTAAATGAATAAGTGTGATGGATGTGAAAAATTAGAATTTTTTTGTGATTTTGCAGAAAGTATAAATTAAATGATAATTTTGTAGACGGGTAGTTGAGATGGGCTTGGGAATGTTGCCTGTTTTTTGATCCTATAGTAAAATGTGTTATGTATGTATAATTTGTATAGACCTAGTAGTTTGAGAAGCTTACTTCCCATACTACTAAGGATCTGAGTTTCTTCTCAACAATATTCAAAAAACACGCGGCAGTCAATGGCAAACCGCCAAGCGTATTTTTCTCATGATAAGCTTTTCACATAATTCATCCCTCGTTTAGAGTCGGCCTTGAATTTGTAGGCTGCTCCATTTATCGGAAAACATTAAATTGTCGAAGGTAGCGCTAAGCAAAACTTAAAATGTAGATATTATATATATGTACTTGTGTATGTATATGGTATATATTTTCAGAGTTGATCATGTCTGTTTAGAGTAAAATATTTTGATACTTTTTACTAAAACTTTTGGATTATCGGCACTGTTTTTGAGTCAATTCTAGAGTTCATTAAGCTAACTTTTCTTGAAGGTCAGCGTGACGGGGAATCACACTTAGACTGTTATGTTTAGTACTTTGTAAAGCTATACAAAAAACTGCTGTGGCTGGATATCAGATATCGGCAAAACGCTTTGAACCTATCACAAATCTGCTTAGGGGTTTTTTTTTATTTTCGCTTTTTCACCTGGATGTCTAAAAGTACGAACTCCGAGGTGTTTTTGCCTTCATCTGGCAACAGCGAGATATTCGAGGAGGAAGTGTTGGGTTGATTCTATCTCATTTTCTTTCAAATAGCTGAAAAAGTTGACATCCGGAGAGATTTTCAATCTTACCGCATATATCTGGATCAAACAGTGTCCAGTTGGGACAGTCCGACAACCATTGAAAAGTAAATTTTGCTGAGAGTGAAGTGTGCCAACTTTATCGCTTTACCCTGGTCTAGAAGACTTTTCTATACGTCCCGATAAGAAGTCTCGACAACCGTTTACGCGCACAGTCAGCGCACTTAAGGCTAATATCGCTGCTGAACTATCGGAGTGGTTGGTCACTCTGAAGATAGCTGCGCTCCGAAAAACCTTTGAGTCGATATATAAGGCATGTTGAGACTCTTGCTTTTTCCCTCTTCAAAGCTAACGTGAACATTTTAGAACATAAGTTCCTTTAATAAATACCATACAATAGAAATAATAGGATCTGAGACACTGTCGCAGCAGAAAGCATCTCTCTCCCTATTAATAAAGTTCTCTGGTGCTAACAAATGAATTGTTAAGATGTTGGATTAAAAACAAGAAGTTAATATGTAATTATATACAATAAAAAAGAAGAATTCAGTAACATACATATAAACATATCGATTAGTGTTAGATTACTTGGTAAATTCCCATATATGCTTATTGCAAAAAAAGGTAATATAATTGACTAAACAAAAAAGGTAACAGTTTTATTACTCGCCATATAAATCACTATGAATATTGGCATTGTGATCCAAAGCTTATAAAGATTAGCATTAATAAAAATATATAATATATTTTACAATACAACTGAAGTGGCAACCTTTGACTACTGACCACAGGCAACCACAAATCGTAATCTACAAACGAGCGTTATGTTCGAGTAACAAATACATCTTGTATATGTATTAATAGCAACAAGATAATCAATATAAATATTATAAAAAATACTAATTATCTTACTCCCGCTCTAGGCCCGCTCCTCGGCCAGCGTCATCTACAAGTATTCCTGCTATTCACCTCGATTGTGGTGAATTATGTTGCTAAATTTAACGCCAGTGTTGCTGTTGTTGCTATGACGAATGCCGAAACGACAAATCCTAACTTTCCGGTAAATAAAAAATACTTTAAGTTACTTAACCCGCAAATAACTTTCATTAATTATCGCACTAACTCTGGTTCTAGGAATATGATTGGACCGATATGCAGAAGTCATATATTCTGTCGAGCTTCTTTTGGGGTTATTTCATCACGCAATTTCCCGGTGGTTATCTATGTCGACGTTTCGGCGCTAAACGCACTATGCTTCTCTCAACACTAGGCTCCTCAGTTATGGGCCTATTGCCGCCATTGTGTGTCAGTTGGGGCGGTTGGGGTATCTACTGTGGCATACGTGTTGTTCAAGGCTTCTTTCAAGGTTTTATGTTCCCCTGTGTGCATGCGCATCTCGCAGCCTGGTGTCCGGTGAGCGAACGCAATCGATTGGGCGCGTTAGCCAATACGGGCATTGAATGCGGTACGTTACTTTCTATGTTCATAAGCGGTCTAATCGCGGCCTCTAGCATCGGTTGGCCGGGTCTGTTTTACGTCGGCGGTGGCATGGGTTTAGTTTGGTGTGTCGCGTGGATTTTCTTAGCTGCCGATGAACCGAATCAATCGAAATTTATCACAACCGAAGAACTCAATTATATTAATGCCGAAAAGAATGTCACCAAGGAATTAGAGGCGGGCGAAGTGCCGCGTAAGGTACCAGTGCCATGGCGTGCCATTTTAACATCCCTGCCATTATGGGCTTTAGTAATTGCACGTTCGGCGCAATCATGGGGTTTCTCGACGCTACAAGCAGAAATTCCCTCTTATATGAAAGGTGTACTTAATATGGACATGAAGAAAAATGCTCTCTATTCGGCGCTGCCTTATTTGGCTATGTGGTGCATGTCCTATGTGTATCTGATTGTGTCGGATGTGCTGCTCAATCGTAATCTACTCTCGCTCACTGCTATACGTAAGACATTCAACTCATTGGCACTGTGGGGTCCAGCTGTGGGTCTGATTGCTGTTGGCTTTTTGAATGTGGATCAAAAGACCTTGGCCATAGTGCTAATGACTGCTAATGTGGGTATAAATGCGGGTTCGACCATCGGCAGCGCTTTGAATACCATCGATCTGTCACCGAATTATGCGGGAATTCTCATGGGTATTGTGAATTCAGCGGCTAATGTGATACCGATACTCACGCCACTGCTGGTTGGTGTGTTAGTTACAGAGGAAGTAAGTGCTGAATATCAGGCAAGCATTTTTGCAACTATTCATTAATTTTTCTTCTTTTTCGTACCTTTAGCATAGCCGCACTCAATGGCAGATAGTGTTCATCATATCTTCGGTCATTTTCTTCTCCGGTAATTTGTTCTACCTAGTCTTCGGCAGAATGGAACTACAGCCTTGGGACAATCCGGATTTCTTGCGGTCTAAAAGCGTGTTTGACGTCAAACCACCAGCGGAAAAGAGTGAGAAGTCGGTGATGCAGCAAAAAGCACGAAGTGTGGAACCCGAAAAAGCAGCAAGTGTACTTGCGTGAAAAGAACTGCCGGTAGTTTAAAGTGTGTTTATGTATGTAAATATGTTAATATAGAGTTAGTTGTAACGAATAATGGTAAATATTATAAGACAAAAATATATCAATTTGAAAAAAAAAATCTGTTTTTTTGTCGTCTTGAATGTGTGAATATTATAATTTACAGACAGTTTCATTTATTACGCTAAGCGATTTTAGGTTGATGAACTTAAATTTTAGACACATTTTTTTTTATTAATTACTCGTACCTATCGTATAAAGCTAACGGCAGACACTGCATACTACATGTCTTTATAGCAAAGCTTTTTGATGCATTTTGTGTACAATATACAATACATAACATTCGCCATTTAATTTTACTAAATATTTTCAAATTAAAGGAATGCCATCCGTAAAAATTTTTTAAGTGAAGTTAATGACACATTTACGTGTTAAATGGGTGACGCAAAAACTGTGAGAGTTGAATTACATTTTGCGTAGCGTTGCCACCTGTTTGGAAGCTAAGTTAATGAAACATGACTTAAAGTGGAACTTGTATTTTTGATGGGTTGCCACCTGTTAAAAATATAATACAAATTAATTAGTAACACAAAACCAATTACAAATTGGGCATTGAAATACATTTTAAGAAATACCGTGTTATGTTATCAAATGCTTTAAAGAAGGGTTGCCACTCTTGTAGTTTTTTATATAATTCAATTGGCAGAATAAAGAAAAACTTATATAATAATAAGAGCAACAAACTAAAGAAGTTTGAGTAAGTTTAATGTTGAGATATTTTTGAGAAGTGTTGCCACCTGTTAACAATATTTTATGCAAAAAAGTTGTTATAATAAAATCAGATTTGCAATAATGTTATCAAGTTTAAGGTTTTGTGTTAAGGAGTATTTTCGGCAATATAAACATTTTAAGACTATTCTCAGTTTAATATATTTGTGTGACCTAATGCTGAATATGATATACTGGAGATCTAATTGCCGAGAATACTGTATTTCTAGCAAAACTTGTTAGATATTTGATTTGCTGTATAAATAAGTACACACCGAATCACTTTGCACTCATTGCAAGTCATTACGCTTTCTACGATCAGGTTTGGAGAACAAAATTTACCTAAATTGCCAAAATGTAAACAAATTAATTGTTGGCAATTAAGGTAAAGCAATTTACTTTAGCTTAATATTTGCTACTGCCTTCGCTTATGTCATTTCTATTACGTTAAAAGCTTTATTCAAGAAGGGAATATAATTCAATGTATTTCTAAGGGCTACAGAGGGCGTAGTACTTGAAAACATAAGTAGCGGTCAACGGTGAATAAAAATCTGTATTTTGAGTGGTAAGAACTACGTCGACCAGTTTTCGAGAATATCTCAATCAAAAACAAGAACAAGAAACGTTAACTTTCTATGCGCCATAGCTGTCATACCTTTCACAAATACAAAAATTCTTTACAAAAACTTAATTTTGATCGGCCAACTATATGCTATAGTAACTGGATTCGAACAATTTCTGCTTATCTGAGAGATATCTTTCGTCAAATAAAAGAATTTTCCACACAAGCACTTGATTCCGATCGTTTAGTTTATATGGCAGCTATATGCTATAGTGTCCCGATGCCGGTTCCGACAAATGATCAGCTTCTTGAAGAGAGAAAGACGTGTGCAAAATTTCAGATCAAAATTTCAAAAATTAAGGTACTAGTTCGCGTATATACAGACAGAGCAACTCAGCTCGTCAGGCTGATCATCTACTTTTATGGTCTCCGACGTTTCCATCTGGGTGTTACAAACTACATCTGTTCAGGGTATAATAAACTAAACTGCTAAGAAGAGCGCATCAAAGAGCGAAATTTGAAAATTGCAATAATTGGTGCTCATAAAAATTACAACAAAAAATCAACACGCGAATTCGGTTCAAATCAGCAGAATTATTTGATTACGCTTAAACCTTCAAATATATATTTCTAGTTATTACATTTTATAAATACTTTTTCAAAAGCTCACAGCCAAGTTATGCATTGTTAATATATGCCAGAGAATACCAGTTGTCGCAAAACCAAAACAGTTGCGCGCTATAAAAAATGCACCAGAAAATATAGGTCATTTATTTGAGTTATTTTAGTTTACTCATCATATTTACTCACTAACCAAACCGCTGATCTAAAGCTGAATTTATAAGGACATTGAACTCTCCGAAATATAGACTTTCGCTCCTTGTAGTCTCTTTTTCGATTATCTAAAATCTTTAAATATTAAAAACGATAAATATACATATATAAATATAGTATTTATAATATATATTATGTATATATATAGAATGTATAGCATTAACCTAATAAGTAAGTATGCAATATATTCGCTTTCTAATAAGCTTTCTACATGAATTTGTTTTTATTTCCAGCTGCACGCTCAAATGTGAATGAGTGTGTCGGCATTGTTGAGAGCTGCTGTAATTTTTGAAATAAATAAAAAAAAACCTCTAATTACTGTAACTGCGTATGAGATGAACTGGTTAAAAGATTGAAGCTGAAAATTGGCGCTGTTAGAAAATTTGATTTCAGTTTGGGCCTGGAATTTAGAGACGAATGAAGCTTGTGTGGAACTGACTACGCATATTTGAAAACGAAGTGTAATTAAACTAAGGGAAATCAAAAAAATTCAAACATGATTGATAAACGGAAAGCAACGGAAATAAATTGTATGCAATTATTAAAAATATTAGTGTCATAGTGCTAAGTTGGCTCAAGGTCGTATGAATTTTAATTTGTCAAAATAAAATTCCAATCGAAAATGTTATTAAACGCACGAATTTAAATATATTGCAAGAAAATATTATACATAAATACATATGTATACATGCATCACAGTATGAAGCTTGGTGAATATGAATGATATATTTGATTGGTGGAAAAAGGCGCAAATACAACCACAGCCGTCGAAGAATTGGTTTTGAAAAATGCTTCGCTTGAAATGCACAGCATAATGCGGATCTACATAATAACAAGAATAGCCTAGCCGTGTTTTGACCCCTCGTATCTAAAAATTATTTACACAGACCAAAAATGAATTCATGAAAAATATTAAGGAAGTGATGGATTTACTTTCAGCCTACAAATGCAAAATATATAAAATAGTTTAAAGTTCAACGAAATAAGAAAAATATTGCAAGCGTCAGCATAGTCAGAGGAGTTCGGTTATACCGAATGAACAAAAAGCTATGCCTGTTTCAAACAAAATTTTTTGTTTTTAAAGATTATAAAATTCCTAAGTGATCAATGACTGCTGGAATCTGAAGTCAAATTTATAATCAGTGCTTGGCATATGTTTTGTGAAATATTCTGAATGTTTTTGGTGAACATCTTATTTATTTGAGATTACTGTACAATACAAAGTGATATGTATACGCGTAGCAAACTCGCAAAGTCTCCAATATAATGGACTCAACTATTGTCAACTTGTAAGCGTTTCCTTTTTGATTCAAAAATCTATGAAGTGCGGTAAATTTGTCATTGCAGCTATGATAGTTTGTTCTATCTTGTAATGTTAATCAATTTAGAACATTGGGATTCTTATAGTTTGCTCTAAAAACGTTTTGACTAAAGCCGCACTAAAGCCGTTTAGGAGAAAGTGTGCCAAAAATATTGGTGTAACTAATAGTTGTCGAACCGACCATATTTTCTAATTATTTTATTAGATAGCTCTAACCGAATTGATGAGAACCGAACGATCAGTCTTTTCAGTACATATTTCGACCCAAAAATATTCAACTAAGTCCACAAAACAGTTCTGAGCTCTCAAAGCAGGCGAAGAATCTTTCATTGTTAATTTATATTTCATAAACTAGTACAGCGTACTATGGCCGAAGATGGTTTTGCGAGCCTCTAAGTCATACGAAATTATAAAACTTTGTGTTAATGTGTATGGAAAAATGTCAAGCATAAAGCTGATCAAACTTTCGTTTCCCATTTCCTGTTTCAGTGCCACGTCTCGGGCAACGTCACGTACAAATTTTCTTGCTATTCACTTCAATCATAGTAAATTATGTTGCCAAATTCAATGCAGGAGTAGCTGTGGTGGCGATGACCGATGCGGCGACTACAAATCCCAACTTTCCGGTAGGAATAAATAATTATCGATTGATATATTTATTAAATAAACATCTGTCTCTTTTCAGGAATACAAGTGGAGTGACATGCAGAAATCGTATATATTGTCGAGCTTCTTCTGGGGTAATTTTATTACACAATTCCCCGGTGGTTATCTCTGCCGTCGCTTGGGCGCCAAACGTACGATGTTTATTTCAACACTAGGCTCTTCATTATTTGCTCTTCTTCCACCGCTCTGCGTTAATTGGGGCGGTTGGGGTATCTACTGTGGCATACGTATTGTACAGGGACTCTTTCAAGGGTTTCTCTTTCCCTGCATACACGCACATCTCGCAGCCTGGTGTCCGGTGAGTGAACGCAATCGATTGGGCGCACTGGCCAATACGGGCATTGAATGCGGTACGTTGCTCTCCATGTTCATAAGTGGCTTAATTGCGGCCTCAAGCATCGGTTGGCCAGGATTGTTCTATGTATCTGGTGCCTTGGGTTTAGTTTGGTGTCTCGCTTGGTTGTTCTTAGCCGCCAATAAGCCAGCAGATTCGCAATTTATTACAAACGCAGAACTTGATTACATAGTGTCCTCGCAGAATAGCACGAAAAAAGTGGAGTCGGATGAAGTAGAGCAAACGATTCCAGTGCCTTGGCATGCTATATTGACTTCGTTGCCATTTTGGGCCTTAGTAGTGGCACGTTCCGCGCATTCTTGGGGTTTCTCGACGCTGCAAGCTGAACTGCCTTCTTATATGAAGGGTGTGCTGAATATGGACATGAAGAGCAACGCTTTGTACTCGGCGCTGCCTTATTTGGCAATGTGGTGCATGTCCTACATTTATCTGGTTGTTTCGGATGTGCTACTCAATCGTAAGATAGTCTCACTCACTATTATACGCAAGACTTTCAATACAATCGCCTTTTGGATACCGGCTACCGGTCTCGTATGCATTGGACTCCTCGGAGAGGGGCAGACGAGTTTTGCTATTGTTCTAATGACGCTAAGTGTGGGCTTGAACGCTGGTGCTACTATCGGCAGCGCTCTGAACACCATTGATCTCTCGCCGAATCATGCAGGAATTCTTATGGGCATCGTGAACTCAGCTGCCAATGTGATACCGATACTCACGCCGCTGCTAGTCGGTCTGGTGGTGAAGGATGAGGTGTGCCAAAGTGATTTTGTGCGGGTTGAAAAACTATTAATTTTTGTTTTTAATTTATAGCATAATCGCGTACAGTGGCAGTTAGTCTTCATAATATCAGCTGTCGTCTTTGCTTCGGGTAACTTGTTCTATTTGATTTTTGGCAAGATGTACCTACAGCCCTGGGATGATAAAGATTATCTATCGAAGAAAAGTGATAAAAATTCCGAGCTGCCGCATAAAGAGTATGTTCCAGCTATAAGCAGTTGATGAGCTCTAACTTTAAGGATGTAAATCTATGTTATATCAAAAATACTTTTGCACACCTACTTCTTAGAAATGTAAAGGGTGTTTTTTTAAACCTGTGGTTTTCAAGAAGAAATAAAACGCATATAATTTAGTGTTTTAGTCAAGAATTTAGCTTTATTATAAAGATAAAGGTTTGCCATGCATGTAGCGCCGTCTTGTTGGCGCCAAAAGTCGTCCACATCAACATCAAAGTTCATTGATCATGACTTTAACAATTTCATTTTTGAAGAAATAGGACCGAGGATTCCCGAGGATGTAACGGCATCTGAACTCGAGATGCGACGCTTATTAACATATCTAAAAGTGAGCTTCATCACTGAACAAAATTTTCTTGTGATAATCGAAAGCGGTGGCCATCACGATTGGCAAACGTTGTTCCACAGTTGGTCTGATCATTGTGAAATGCCAAAATAAACTGAGTATAAATCAATCAGCTGTCTAAAAGACTTAGTTGTCTAAAAAACACCCTTTAAAAGTATATATTAAATTATGATTTAGTGCGCCTTTTTCTATTACGGGGAGAAAATTTCTATTTTTAATATATACACTTAGTGTTCTGGACACGAAATGTCAGAGACGAAACCAAATGGATGTTACCGTTACGTGAAAATTAATAAAAATTTTGCCGATTTTTACACAATTTACAGAAATTTTGTCCTGTTTAATATAGCATACTTCTCTACAAATTATGCAACAAATAAATTTTTAACTTAGTAAGTAAATGTAAAACTTTTTTTGAAAAGCTGCTGTTTTCTTATAAGCTTTTTATTTAGCCAAAAGCTTTCAATATACAATATTACTACCGGAGAAAGATAGTTTCCGTGTACTCGTGCATTAAGCTTCTTTACTATGTACAAACTAGCATGTTAAACGCGAAGCTTTGATTTTCAAACATTGTTAGTTAACCGTTTCATGCCGGATCTTTAACAGTTAACCGCTTGTTTAAAGCGTTTTTTATTCTTCTATTGCGCTCTCTCAAAAATTTATATATTAACTCAATTATAGCATACACATATTAGTTAGTATACGTGCCTTTATAAATTTGCGTGAGTATGTGTTTATATAGTAGGTGTTATTTATAACGAAGTTAATCGAAAATAAATATTTTTTAATATATTAAATATTTCGCAATTGGGCTATTAGTATGAATTTTGAATAACGAATAATATAAGCTGATGCTTTTCAGACCTATAGATTAAAAAATATATATTGTATTTTTTTTAGTAAAGCAAAGTAGTGCTACTACAAATTAAATAATTTTAAAATATATTATGAAAATAAATTTTCTAAACAAAAAAAAAATTAATACACGTAATAATAATAATAATAATAATAATAAAAAACGCAATGAGTGTTTTAATAAAGTAAACTTTTGTGTTTTGTGCCATGGAAAACGGTTTATATTGCTTTTATATTCAAAAGCGGTCTTTGGGAATTCAGAGGCTGCGGGTCCATGCTAGCGTGTGATAATACTCTCTTTTAATCTAATGTGGTTGTGATGAAAATGACGACTTTTAACGAAATTAATTCTTATGCACATCCCAACAAGCAGCATAGGGAGAAGCTTTTCGATTCAATTAATTAATTAATTAATTCGCCAATAAAAAAACTGTATTTGAAAGTCTTGTTTTTTCCCATAAAAGCCAATGCGATAATAGGTTATGCTTTGTGAAGTTTGATTAACACAAATGATTTTTATCTTGATATTTATCGGTCAGTTTGTATGGCAGCTACATATGTCCTATAGTGGCCCGATATACAATAAATGAGTAGCTTCTTGGAGAAAAAAAGCACATGTGCAAAATTTCATGTCGATATCTCAAAAACTGAGCGTCTAATTTTGGTATATACAGATAGACTCACGGACAGACTGAACAGAGTCTAGGGTATAAAAAGAAAAACGCTGAAATACAAAAAGAACTGCGCATTTTAGTTGACATTTACTAGCGCCAAGCGCATGTGATTTAGATAATTAGACTAATAATATATTTTTTGTGAAACTGAAGCAGACAAAATTATGGCCGACAAGCGGCAACGTCAACGTGAGCACCACAGCTGAGCCCAAAATTGATAACGAAGTAGAGACATACAATTTTTCAGCCGAAATGATACTAAAGTGCTTTACAAGTATAAGAGCTGGTGTTAAATTTGAATGATGGAAGTGACATTGCCCACATTTAGGTGAAAACCCATATATCCGGATCTACTTGACCGATGGTCGAAATCAAACAAAAAACACATTACTACCCATATAACGCAGTTTTAAATAGCATCTGATTCTTTCATTTTCCAGTATACAAATCAAGAACCAGTCAATGAGTCCAGATAAAACTTTGCACAAATAATGCCTTTGAGTTGTGCCACCTTATGGCCAAAAATTGTCTGAGTCGTATCAAAACTATACAACCCTTAAATACCGAGTATGTGGAGTGCTTATTGCGAACTTTTTACCGAAAATGTCAGTAAACCTGTCCGATTTATTATTGAAATTCGAAAAGAGTTTTCCGTTTGCAAGTTGCGAGAGTATTAAATGTTCGATAACATCCGAACTTAGCTTATCCTTACTTGGTTCTCTTTTTTCATTATTTTTATTTATTGTTATATTTAAAGTGGTTGCCGCAGAAATTGTTGAAAGCAAATATTTTCCAAAATTAAATATTTGACAAACTTCGGAATATTTTGCACAGAATCAACGTATTTACGATTTTTGTTGGATTTTTTCCATTTAAGCTATCTATAAAACATTGAATATCTTTAATTTTTTTAATTTCTCAAATATTATTGTTTTAAGAAAATAACTAATTGTCTTAGTTGAGAATATTTCAGTAAACTCCATGTATTTGGTGCTTAAGTGAGTGTTTTCTTTTAGCTCTCAATCTTTATTGCTTATGACACTAACTAATTTTAAAGTTTTTTTATGCTTATGTAAGCCTAAACATAATAGATTTGAAATATGACATAATGTAAATTATTTTAAAACTCTACCTATCTCTTGCTCTAGTTGACTACCGTTAGATAAAGTTTAATAAATTTTTTGTATAATTAATCTTAACTATGTTATCACGTATCGAACACGCTAATCGCATTATGTAGACAAGATCGCTGTCAACCAATTTTATATGCTATCAGTTTTTTGTTTATCACTGTTTTATTGACATCAATCATTTACAAATAAATATATATGGTACATATATGTATATGCGAATTCGCACCAAAAAATAAAATACATGTAAAACATGTGTAAAAATATTGAAAAGCCACTGCGTTATCACATCTTATCTGCAGACTACTTGTAGTCACATTGAAGTACGCTTAGAGTAGTTAGTTCTAATAAATAAATACAATAGACGCGCTATTTATTGGGCAAGTTACCAGACAGCTTTCGTCTAATGCTAAGCCTTGGAGAGGAGTAGTGCTTTTTCACGCCTAAATAAATATTTTTCAATTATTTTTTATTGCGTCAATTAAATTTTTTTGATTGCCGACAGTGACAAAATGAGTGAAAAGAAAATCGAAGCCAAAGTAGACAATGGTTGGTGAATAGTAAAAATAATTTAGTGAAAATATTTTTTATACCCTAAACAGGTTATATAAAGTTTGCGACGAAGCTTGTAATATTCAGAGGGAAACGTTGAAGATTCTATACCGTATATATATGTACATATGAGCGTGACAAGCTGAGTGGATTTAACCATGTTCGCTTGTCTGTATTTACGCGAAACAGTCTGTTTGAAATTCAGAGTGTATATTTTCACGATCAAAATGTACTTGCATATTAAAAATTGGTAAAATCGGGTCAATAGCTTCCCTGGCCGCCATATGCACAATTTCAGGATTTACAAACATCCTGTTAACTTTATACCGGATATATTGGTCAATATGTATACTATATTTGGAAAAATTTTTGAACGTATAATAATAGATTTAATATAGTTTAATGCTGAAAATGTGTGAAATCGGTCCACGAATTACCCTAGCTCACAAATACTGTGTATAATGCTTTTCGTCATTCTAGTAGACTTTCCGCTTAAAATTTCGGTCATTATGTGAGTTATGTTCCAAACATTGTGTAAAAATCCGAACTTAAAACCAAAACTCTCATTTCTTTTGCCTGCACCAGTAATGTATATCTGTTACTTTTCCAAACGATTAACGTCAGCAAATATTGCACTACAAAGTACTTATCGAAACTAACTATGTTAGTCTCGTTGACATTATCAATATCAATTACTATAAGTATTATTCTCAAGTGTAAACAAGTAAATGCTTCAATTTGTTTAGATTATTTGCCATATTTAGTGGGACTTTCTCTTCAATAAGATTAATTTATGAATAAAATCTTGAGTAATGAGCTGCTCATTTATCGATACAGCTGCCACACAAAGTGAACGATAAAACTCAAGTCCTTGTATGAAAACTTTTTTGCAATATTATCTTAGGGTCGCTGCAATTTCCGAACAGATTGTCAAGAAAAAGATGCAGCCAAAGTTAACGTTTTTCTTGTTTAGTCTTTGGATTGTCTAGATACAAAAAGTGTTATAAAGGAAACACCTTTAATTATAGCCTTAATTTGTAGCTTGATGTGAGGTTTTCGCTTGTTAACAAAGTTACATATAAAATTAGTTTGATCTCTCCACAAGTGCTTAATGGCAGAAAAAGGAACAATATCTTCAAACAAGTTAATAATTTATTAAATAAAGAATTGGAAAAGCTAAGTTTTTCCCAAAAACTACCTTAACACAGCCCAAGGCGGTTAAGCAGATGACATGGCTAAGTTATTTTCTGTACAGTCCTCCAATTATTAGAGTACGCTGGTTGGTAGACATACGCTAAGTCATTCTAAACACTTTTAATGCCAATATATCCTTATTGATCGTCTCGGCTTATTTTTGTACAGACTCATATAGTAGACTCGATGCTGCAAGCCACGTGTGACCGCCATTATTTCAGTCGCGAAGATTAGAGACAAAACCTAACCTTATATCATATCTATTAATTAAACTTGTTACATTTCAGGTCCACGTTTCGGCGTACGCCATGTGCAGACTTTACTGCTCTTCCTATCAACCACCGTTGCTTATATGGGCCGCTTGAATGTCTCAGTCGCGGTGGTGGCTATGACAAACGCAGCGAGCACAAATCCCAACTTCCAGGTATTCATCAGTGCAACATAACTATAAAGTTTAGTATTTTTTACAAAATTAAAACTCCATACATTACAGGAATTCGACTGGACGGAGAAGCAGAAGTCCTATATAATATCTTGTTTCTATTGGGGCTATGTGATCACACAATTACCCGGTGGTTATCTGAGTCGACGCTTCGGCACGAAAATTGTGATGGGTATCAGTCTCTTTGGCTCGGCGCTATGCAGTTTACTTACACCTTTTCTTGTGCCATGGGGCAGCTGGAAAGTTTTCTGTGTCATACGCATCATACAGGGTCTCTGTCAGGCGGCGATATTCCCAGCTATACATGAGCACATTGCCAAGTGGTCGCCGCCAAAAGAACGCAATGTGATTGGTGCACTGGCCTATGCGGGTGTCGATTGCGGCACTGTGTTGGCGATGCTTGTAAGCGGTCTGATAGCCAGCAGTCCGATCGGTTGGCCGGGCATTTCGTATATTTCGGCCGGTATTTGTTTTGCTTGGTGCTTGTTTTGGTGGATTTTTGGGTCAAACGATCCACCATCAGCGCGTTTTATAACGAAAGCTGAGTGCGAATACATCGAAACTTCGATGAAACGTGATGAAGATTTTCATAAGAACAAAATACCCGTCCCATGGTTGGCAATGTTCACATCGGTGCCATTTTGGGCACTACTTTTAGTGCGCTGTAGCGAAAGTTGGGGCGTCAGCACCATACAATCGCAAATTCCCTCCTACATGAACGGTGTGTTGAATATGAATATCAGGAGCAATGCATTTTTCTCGGCACTACCTTACATAGCGCGTTGGATAATGGGCTATGTCTATATGTACTTCGGAAATATGTCTGTAGCAAAGGGCTGGTTATCATTAACCGCTATGCGTAAGATCGCCAATACGATCGCATTATGGTTGCCAGCACTTCTTATGGTTGGCATTGGTTTCCTCGATGATAGCAATAAAGCTTTGGCAATTATTTTAATGACCATAGATGTCGGCTTCAATGGTGCTGCAACCGTCGGTTGTATACTCAGCACGATAGACTTGTCACCGAATCACGCTGGTGTTGTAATGGGCATTACAAATCCGGTGGCTAATATTATACCACTGATTACACCACTGGTTGTGGGTGTTGTAGTTACAGATGTGGTAAGTTGGTATTTTTTGGATTCTTGAAAATTTATTTTTATTGTTTGTTTATAAATTTCTTTTCTCCTCTAGCACGACCGCTCTGAATGGCAAACAATATTTATCATTTCCGCGACGATTTTCTTCTTCGGCAACTTGATTTTCATAATTTTCGGTTCGGCAGAAGTCCAACCGTGGGATGCACCGGACTTCTTGCGCAAGGATAACGTAGAGGAGCCAGTAAAGGGCACTTTTAATGAAATTTTTGTTGCTGATGATGACAAAGCTAAGATCGATGGTTGGGCGGTAGTGGAGAAAACTGACGATAGTCGAAAAAAAAACGTGCGGGAAACTAAGACTCAATAAGTGATATTATATAGTTCCACAACTCTACGGGCTTAAATTAAGTCTAGTTTACAGTTAGTGAAGTTAAAGCAAGCTTTTTATTAAAAGCTGTACACTTTTTAATTGCTTTCGTTATATATTATTAAGACATATACTAAAGCGTTAAAACATTAAAATAGGATCTAGCCTATAGGCGAGAGGCTTTAATAATATTAAGACACTTTGTTGATATATATCGTATAATAAATTTTTGATGCCAACACTGTCGACAACTAACGAAGCGTTTTATTGCATACACGTTGGATCGAAATGAAAAGAGTTTGTTATCCAAGCTCAAATTAAAAGAATTTTAAAAAGGACGATATTCTACTGGAAGCTTATTTCGGAAACAATTTCGGTTTGAAACTTGTAACTGATACATTCTAGGACAGAAAAAGAGATAGTGACCGGACCACAGTGAGCATAATCAAGAAAGAAGTAACTAGATGGAACACAGCACTAAACTGCAATTTACAAAGTCTTGCTCAGATAAGCCAAACACAGGTGGAATAAGCCAGAAAGCTACTTAATCAGTCTTACAACTATGGAAGCTAATTTTGGTTTCATAAAAGCCTGTGTTTTGCAAAAAGCTGCTGACACTGCTTTTGTCTTATATTCGTCTTATATAATTCTCTTTCCAACGCCTATTTATTAAGGTTTATTTCCCAATATTGAAATTATGCCTTTTTTATTTTTAACGATGTTGGTTATTTAATTATTTAGCATCTAATTTATGAACAAAAGCTTTAATGATTTCTGACATCACCTGAAACTTAAACCTCACCAACGCTATCAAAATTCTAACGCATCCTAGAAGTGTGCTAGAGGCAGAGAAAAGAAAAGCAGGACTTGGAGGAGATTGAAGAGCTCGCTACCAAATATCAACTGAGCTATTTAGTTTAACTTTTTATGTATATAACTGCACATTTCATTTAATTACATAAAAATGCTAAAAATAAAAAATCCGGGTCCGGCACTCGAAGCGTAACCCATTAAAAATCCCATAAATTCGCTTTGGATAATAATTTTTATTTACTTCAAAGTACAGAATGTGTGAAAATAATCAAAAATTCAGAATCAATTCACCTTTGCTTGATATAACCACCATTTGTATTTAATATGGCCTTGAGACGGTCAAAAAACGAATCGCAAGCTGCCGAATGTGGCTTGTCGGTATTTTAGCCCACTTACGGACAATGGCTTTCTTTAGCCGGTGTACTTTTTACCTCGGACCTTGCTTTATAAAATGGCATAGAAAGAATAATTCACTGGATTCGCGTCTGGTGACTTCGACAGCCATTGTGTGGTCGAGGCCAGTGTGTGATGAAATTCAGAACGTTGGTTTTCAGCCGTCCTTGGTTCACTCGCGCTTCGTGAGATGGTGCCGAGTCTTGTTGGAACGTCCATGTCCTGAGACCGAAATGTTTGTCTGCCCACGGCTTCACAACAGCCTCCAGAATACTTTCCCGATAATTTGTTGCATTCACTTTGACACCTGGCTCGGTGAAAACGATTGGAGAGCGCCCATGTGCATTTACAGCGGCCCAAACCATTACTTGTGGCGGGTATTGCCTCTGGCCGACCGATGAAGAGTAAACTTTATCGTTTTGAGAGTTTATAAATTGCTCAATTGGAAAAATTTTTTTGAAAGAAAACACGATGTTCGTAATTTGACCGCTTTCGGCCGAACGAAGCAATTCCTTCGATCTCTCAGTTCTAATTTGTTGTTGCTTCGGTGTGAGATTATGGGCCTTTTGGAATTTGTAAGGCTTGACCATGAGTTCGTTTTTCAACATTCGTTGGATGCTGCGGTCGGATATTTTCAGTTCCTCACTTATGGTACCATTTTACGTGACGTTGCAATCTTTTGATGACACCTCCATGGTGTTTTGCGATGCTACCAGAATTATTATAACGAGTTGCAGATAGGTGCAATAAATAAAAACTTTATTCACATTAAGTTGTTTGAGCTCATGAACAATCGCTGACTTTTTTTATATATTTTTAAATCAAGAAAAGATATCATTATAAAAAAAGTATTATGTAATTTTAAAGGAACACGGATACATGTATTTATAAACAAGTAAGGAAGAGCTAAGTTCGGGTGAAACCGAACATTTCATACTCTTGCAAGATGCAAGGATCAAATCCGGGAAATACCTTCAGGTGTTTGTAAAACTTCATATTAGACAATTCATTCATTATTTGACGAGATTGTGAATGAACTAGGATCAAATTTGGTATTTTATTAAGTTATGTTAAGGGTCATAGACTCAATTAGTTTTATAACTATATTTTACTTGCCGTCAGCGAAAATTATCACAAAATCATCCTTAAATGAGATATATTCGACATAAACCTAACCGAACCTAAATTTAATATAATATATTGAGTTGATGTGCAAAACGTCCACCAGGAAATGGCAATTGATGATATTAGGGATATGGATAGAGCCAAGGTAAGGACCAACTCCAATCATGTTCAGCGGTTTGTTAGAATAACGGAAATTATTATACTATAACTATAATTTCACAAATTTCCTGCATTAAACTAATGTGTATCCAATATTTTACGTTCAGTTAATTTTGCTAATGTATCTTACATATTGACCGATATATACTATTTTTGGCATTACTTCATATTATTAACAGAAACAGATGCCTTCTGAGTTTCATTAAGTTACCTCACATACCAACAATATATAAGGAGTAAAGTCAACTGGATGTTTGAAAATCCAAATATCAGTTATATGGGGCTTGGACAAATTTTCATCCGATTTTATCTAACACAGAGATGCATCGTTAGTTGAAAAACATGCTCACTCAATTTAATTAAGATAACTCAAATATTGGCCAATATATGGCGTATAAAGTCAGTCGGAAGTTCAAAAATCTTTCTATTAAGTATTTAGCCCCCTTAAGGGAAATATTGACTTAATTCAACCAAGTTTTGACATACAGACATATTATTATAAGGAAAAGATTATCTCCTAATTTCATTAATATATCTGACACATTGTCCGATGTTTTTGGTATATTTATACTCTCGCAACCTGTTGCCACAGAGTATAATAGTTTTGTTCACCTAACGGTTGTTTGTATATATGAAGAGACGGGTTGAAATCCGGGTGACTGTCTGTCCGTCCGTCCGTCTCTGCAAGCTGTAATTTGAGTAAAAATCGATTATGAAACTTGGTAGACATGTTTCTTGGTACCGTGAGACAGTTGGTATTGCAGATGGGCGTAATCGGACCACTGCCATGCCCACAAAACGCCATTAACCAAAACAATAAATTGCCATAACTAAGCTCCACAATAAGATACAAGACTACGATTGGTATACAGGATCACATTAGGGAAAGACATCTTCAGTTTAAAATTTTTTTAAAATGTGGGTGTGGTCCCGCCCTCTAATAGGTTTAATGTGCATATCTCCTAAACCACTTAGCATCTCTATCGACGGTGTGAAAATGGCTGAAATCGGTTGACCACCCCGCCCACTCCCCATACAACGGTGCTGTGAAAAACTACTAAAAGCGCGATAAATCAAGCACTAAACACGCTAGAGACATTAAATTTTATCTTTGGGATGGTATGAGATGATTTTATAGGAACCGCGTTAAAAATTAGACAGTGGGCGTGGCACCGTCGACTTTTAGATAAACACCCATATATTTGGATCTGCTTAACCGATTTCAATCAACTTCGGTACATAAAATCCATCTCATATTTCTATGTTATAGTGCGAAAATGGGTGAAATCGGATTACAACCACGCCTATTTCCCATATAACACCATTTTAAATTCCACCTGCTTTTTCACTTTCCAGTATGCAAATCAAGTAAGAATGATTATTTTGGTGTAAAACTTTCCGTGAATAATACGTTTAAAGTATGCTACCTTGTGATCAAAACTGTTCAAGCCCCTAGGTACTGAATATGTGGACCCCAGTACATATAGTTGACTTTTTACCGAAAATATCGGCCAATATGTAAGATATAGGTATAATTGAAATTAATATTATATAATAAAATTAATAAATGGAACTCTTGATAATAGTATGACTTTGTGTCAAAAAAGGGTTGAATCGGATCAATACTTCCTTTAATACAAAATTTTGCCAACACCTGAAGTAATTTCCCGGGCTTTAATCCTTGCAAGTTGCGAGAGTATAAAATGTTAGGTTACACCCGAACTTAGAACTTCCTTACTTGTTTAGTTCTGATTTTGTGAAATCCTGATTCCAAGTCTAGTGTAGTGAAGTAATTAGCTTTACCCAAGTTGTAAAGTTTATCTATTTCTAAGAAGGTTAAATCGAATCCTAACATATTAATTTCTTTTTATGTGTTATGAAGTGTATTTGTTTCTGTATTTTTGCCTAGTTTAGTGCTTTTTATAATTTAATATGTTTTACTTACATAACTACTAGTGGCTCCAATGTGGAATAATATACCTATATACCGGTTTACCATCCGGTCCCATGCGCTGGATTGTTGGTAACCGATGTCGTATTGTTAGGGGCTCCGTTATAAAGTGATTGTATTTCCAGCTATTCTTTTGTGATCTGGTATACTTTAGATTCTTTTGTTAGGCATATTTATACGGCTTAACGTTGCTCTGAACGGGTTTGGTCGTTGTTCTAGTACTTGAGGTTGTTGAGCATGTTGAAAATCATGAATGGGTTGATTGAAGAAGACACGTGCTGGTCGACGGCATTGACCATTGACCTTCCATTGGTTCGATTCGTTGTTGAGGTGGATGGGTGTTTTGTCGTGGCTGTATAATCTAAATGTTGAGCATTTAAATTTTTAATAGAACCAAACTTAGCGCTTGGTTGAACCGATGATAATACAAATGGAGTGGAGAGTTGTTTCGACGAATTTCCATCATGTCCTCTTCTAAAACGTATAATAGGCGTTGGTCAGCATATGTGTCGTCTAAGCAGTCAATGATTGCATTAAAATTGTGTTTAGTGTTGTTCTTTATTAAACCCTGTTCTGCTTTTCCTGTTATCCTGCCTCTGATTTAAAGTCGTGTTATATGGGATGTAGGCGTGGTTGTAATCCGCTTTTGCCCATTTTCGCACTATAAAATGTGAATGTGAAAATAGTTTTGGGTACCAAATTTGATTGAAAGTAGTGAAGTATGTCTGGAAATATGTGATTTCACTTAAATGTGGGCCATGCCCATCGTTGAATTTTGACACTTACACCTATCAAGCTTTCTAGTGCCATATAGCTTGAATCATTTAGGAGGTATATACATTAATTCTATTAGGGGGCGGGTCCACGCTCACTTTTCAAAGCACAGGTGCCTCTTGTCGTTACGATTCGTTATACCAAATTACAGTATTGTATCTTAATTTGCGGCTTAGTTATGACAACTTATAGGTTTCCGATTAACGGCGTTTTGTGGGCGTGGCAGCGGTCCGATTGCGCATTTGTCAAAAAACACGTGTAGCAAGTTTCATTAAGATATCTTAATTTTCACTCAAGTTACAGCTTGCATAGACAGAGAGACGGACGGACGGACAGACATCACTCGAAATTCAATTCGTATCGTCATCCTGATCATTTATATATATATATAACCCTATATCTAACTCGACTAGTTTTAGGTGATACAAACAACTGTTACGTGAACAAAATTTTTATACTTTTTAGAACATGTTGCTAGAGTCTAAAAAATATATGTAGCCATAAAAGCTCTAAAAATTACGTATGTACTCGTATATCTAGTTTCAAATGACTTCTACAGAGGAAACCTAAACTAGAAAACTCTTTGTACTTTATAAAAAGTTAATCGCAGTAAACTAAAATAATAATAAATATATATTAATATTGCTTATTTTTTCGAGCACATTTTATTTTATTATATTTATTTCTAAGTTTAGTCGAATAATTAAGTTATCGGCCATCATATTTCATATTAATTCCTGACAAATAGAAAGCGGAGTAGCTCAATGGAGAGAATGTTTGCGATATCGTTACGTAATAGGCAGTAATGTGAGGCGAACACACATATCTATTAATAGTGATGTGTACGAGTATGTGGCACTAACAGTGTAGATCGAAACAAATAAATACAGTGGATGCTTCGAGTTTTTAGTAAAGTCGCGCAGTAGCTGTTGCCCAAAAGCATTGTGCTGACCAAAAATTAGTGGGAATTTAGGATTAAAAAAAAAAATTTTTAGCAAAACAAACATAAAATACTGCAAAAAAAGTTCTAAAAGTTCAAGTGAATTAAAATCTGTGAAAATTGTCACATAATGAGTACGCAGCAAATTGTAGGGGATGTGAAAAAAGGTAAGTAGATCATTAATTAATTTAGGATTAGTTGAACAGGTGTTTTTTAAACATGTTCATATTTTTTAAATTTAATTTAATTTTATTGCGTAATTCAAGTCAATTTATTACAAATCATTTTCCATTATATTAATAATATTACTAGGTTCATTAGGGCTTTGCTGTTTTTTTATAAAAGTAAAACCTAGTTAAATAACTATGGGTAAAAAGTACCTAAACCGTTAAATTGATAGAGTTAGTGAAAATAATCAACAAGTGTTTTTTTGCGCAAAAAATGGATTTTTGAAATGCATTAAGTGATACATTACTGTAAATAATTACAACAAAAACAGATTCGGTTCAAATATTTACGCGATGAAGAAGCACATACATATCGGCATGCAATTTGTGCAAACTTACCATAGACACGTCTTCTAAACGGCTTTGAACACATAACGTAAAAAACCTCCTTTTACTCTCTTATAATTTAGTGTGTAAACGGATTGTAATTACCTTCCTTACTACATTTTTATTCAAATTTACTTTAAAAGAAATAATTCTCTAAATCATGCGAGTGCACGCCGTAACTCATTTGGCTCAATTTCGCTCGCAGCGACATCACTTACAGCAAATCCAGCATTTGTTAAGAACAATATGCAAGGCGAGTGGGATCTCACTCGAAACTAACGGAACAAAAATCTATCTAAAAATATACATCTTTTTTCTTGCAATTAGCTATTTTCTCAAGTACTTAAATTCGTTTTGTGTGTAAAATACACGTCACTGCTCGTTCTGTTTTTTGTTTTTTAAATCGCGTGTTGATATCTGCGTGGGATGCACGTGCAACAGTTATAAAACTTCTATTATATACAGGCTTAAATCATTTCAGCAGATAATAAATATAAATTAAAAATGTAAGTAATTTAGCAAAAGCTAATTTAAGATACGTTTAACTGCTCTAAAGCGACCTATGACACATATGCTTCCTACCCATGTTCCAACATAGTATATGTAGAACAGTGGTCAGCATTCTTACACTTTCAAACGTTTTTTTATTTTTTTTTTGAGAATGTATGCGTGTGAAGAGCGACTCAATTGTCACAGTGGTACATTTTACTGATCCCCTACGTTTTTCATTTCAAGTGTAATTAGGACCATCACTAATTTTATTTGAGGGCTTTAAAGATTTTTAACATTTGCCGAGCTGCTTTTGCAAAACCGTTAAATGCCACTATTTGCAGAAATAATAAAATGATGAGATAGGTCAGTAAATCTACAAGTTGCGTTCCAAAGTAAACAGTAAAAAAGTAACAAAGTAAACTCTAGTGGTGCCATCTATACGTCGACTAGTGCGTTGGAATCTGCTATCCTTTATCGACTTCCAGTAAACTTCCAGTTTACTTTGGAACGCACCTTGTATTGAAGTTATTTAGGTACCGAGTGAACCTAAACACGCCCTACAGTGTGAACTACAACTACAAAAATTTGAAACTTTTTTGTTATAATTGCGAATTACTCATTATGATTGTTAAATAATGTCCTACAGTTATTTTACACAATTATTGAACAATCTATGTAAAATTCAACGATATAATATTTCTTCGGGATATTTTCAAACGATACATACGAGTATAAGCATAAGTATTTGTTGAGAAAGTGGAAATGAGCACTTAACAAGATGTTGCCTTTAGTCATATTGTATTATTGTTTGTGTGTCGTTGCGGTAATTCATGCGATGATCAATAAAAATTCATAATATTGTTGTCCGAAGTTTACAAATTATTGCATTACGGTATATATATAGATTGATTATGGTGTTGATTATTATTATATTTGGGGAAACAATAGAGAACATTGCTTCCAAAATTCGACTCGACCATAGTAATAAAATATTATGCACCTGAACAACCGTTAGATCACAATTTCAAGATTTTTAAAGATTTATGTGGTACCTCGATTTATTATTGACTCTCAAGGTGATTTATTGCATAAGTTTGACGGAAAACAATTCATAAAGAGTTAGGCTAGGTTATGTTGGTGGTGATAGCAAATTGGTCTCAAGTGGTACTTATGAATAAAATGGTAATCATACTAATATATCAAAACATATTGCGAAGTAGAAATAAATCGACCGGCCTTAAATCATAAATAAAAATTTGTAATGCTGAAATGGGTGTGTATAAATAAATATGAACATACAAGTATGTTTTGTAGACCCCAATATATAAAGAGTAAGGGTATAATTTCAAATAAATAAATAATCTATTATTAAAGAATAAAAAATAAAGAATTTAATATTGGTTACGGGTGATTTGCATTATAGTTTCATTTCCTAAATTATTAGTTTGTTACTACGTAGGTTCCTTCTCTGCTCACACATCTACGAGGGATTTTGTGCGTGGGCCGAAGCCATTGGAGAAGTGGTGCAATGAGCTTCTTCGAGTTGGTTCAGCGAGTTGGTTGTCCGATTTCCACTTGCGCTTTAGCGCTGGACCTATAGACCTCCAGTGAGCTTGGCAGGCACTGGTTAACAACTAAAGCTTGTGCGACTGCGAATTCTTTCTGGCCCAAGGTAAACCGTAAGCGGTGCTACGATATTGTCTAATAGGCATACACGCAGTACGAATATATATTTTGTCTGATGCTCTCTACCAAAGCTATATGGAAGAAGGCGTGGTCAAATCATCTTGTTATTTTCTTCTCTATGACCAGGCTTTTTGTCAGACTGAGATTGAAATATCTCGGTAGACAGACCTATGAAGAACCTAGCGAAGTGGCTGATATTGATATTTGTGGTAAGCTCAAAACGTTTCGTTGATCTATGAAGTGATGCACTTCAAGGTGTTTTTAGGTAACACAAAGCACAAATATTTGTCCAAGTGGAATTCATCGATTTTGGATCAATCCTACGATCCAACCTAATCTAACCGACTATGCAGGCTGCGATGTAATATATATATATAAAGTAAATAAATTGAAGTACGATAAAATATTTAGAATATCTTGAATTCTTCTGTTTCATAGTCTTTCATAAACATTTCTATCTAATTTGTATATTCCAGAACTCCGCTTTGGCGTACGTCATGTACAAACTCTGCTGCTATTCTTTAATATTGTTGTGATTTCAATAAGTCGTTTAAATATCTCGGTTGCTGTGGTCGCGATGACAAATGCCGAAAGCACTAATCCCAATTTCCAGGTGAGCACATATTTCGCTTCGTTTTTCTTTCAGATTTTCTTTACTTACGAATCTAATATTTTATAGGAATTCGATTGGACGGAACAACAAAAGTCGTACATAATTTCCAGCTTCTACTGGGGTTACGTGGTCACACAGCTTCCCGGTGGCTATCTGAGTCGACGTTTCGGTGCGAAAATTGTGATGAGCATTAGTGTCTTCGCTTCGTCTGTATGTAGTTTGGTCACACCATTTCTGGTGCCTTGGGGCTGCTGGCAGATATTCAGTCTTATACGTATCCTGCAGGGTCTAAGTCAGGCAGCACTCTTTCCAGCCATACACGAGCACATTGCGAAATGGTCTCCGCCACAAGAGCGTAACATGCTGGGCGCGCTCGCCTATTCGGGTGTCGATTGTGGTATGGTGTTGGCAATGCTTGTGAGTGGTTTGATTGCGAGTAGCGCGCTCGGCTGGCCGGGCATTTCGTATATCTCAGCTGGCACTGGTTTCGTCTGGTGTTTGCTTTGGCACATTTTCGCAGCAAATAACCCGCCAACCTCGCGCTTTATTACGAAAGCAGAGTGCGAGTACATCGAAACTTCCATGAAACGTGAGAAAGATTTCCATGAACGGAAAATACCTGTACCATGGTTGGCAATGTTCACATCGATGCCCTTCTTGGCGTTACTCGTTGTGCGTTGTGCCGAAACCTGGGGCTTCAGCACCGCGCAATCGCAGATTCCCTCGTACTTTAATGGTGTACTTAATATGAATATAAAGAGCAATGCATTCTTCTCGGCACTGCCTTACATAGCGCGTTGGATTATGTCGTACATCTACTTGTTCTTCGGAAATATGGCAGTCGCAAGGAACTGGCTATGTTTGACGGTGGTGCGTAAGATCGCCAATACGATGGCAATGTGGCTGCCAGCGTTGTTTATGATCGGTGTAGGATTCTTTGACGATACCAACAAGTCTTGGGCCATTGCTTTGATGACAATGAATGTCGGCTTCAACGGTGGTGTTACCATCGGCTGTGTACTCAGTACAATTGATGTATCGCCAAATCATGCGGGCGTGGTAATGGGTATCGTGAATACGCTGACTAATGTGGTGTCTTTGTTGACGCCACTGGTTGTGGGCTTTATAGTCACCGATGCGGTAAGTCGAGCGTTAAGTTTTCTTTTCATTAATTTCGGATTCAGAAGATAAATATATGTTATATTATATTTCCAGCATATTCGCTCAGAGTGGCAAATTGTTTTCATAATTGCCGCGTGCGTTTTCTTCGTGGGCAATTTGATATATCTAATATACGGCACGGCTGAGGCTCAGCCCTGGGATGCACCTGACTATCTGTTAGGGAACAATATTAAAGAGGTACCTAAAACTGCGCGTAACGATAAGCTTAAGAGAGTTGATGACTCATTTTAGGCCCAGTGCAAAATTTAAGGATTGACTAGAGGGAGTTGAATGTCACATTTGGGGTAGGACGCTTAGGACATTTTATAGAACAAGTAAGGATTGGCAAAGTTTGGGTGTAAACGATCATTTTATACAAAACAATAACTTGCAAGAATCAAATTCCTTCAGCTGTTGGTAAAACTTCGTATTAAAAATGTTGCAAAAGAATTAAGCATTCATTACTCGAAGAAACCATAAAAAAAATTAAAATCAAATTAGGTACGTTCTTGACTTATATTGAATATCTTTAATTAGGACTTAATTTTATTGCTACATTTTAGTTCGCGTCGGCTAAAATTATATTTAAACACGTTCAAATGAGAAATATGTATAATATCACATATCATCAAGTCTCTCAATTTCATTAAAATAACTCACATATTGCCGATTTATGCGGCGTAAAGTCAGCCGGAAGTTCGAAAATATTGCCGTTAGGTATTGGAGCGAAGGGAAGTATTGACTAGATTCAATACATTTTTGACACACAGACATACTGTTATCAGGAAAGGATCTTCTCTGAATTTCAATAATTTCGGTAAAAAGTCACTAAAGATACTGGAGTCCACCTATTCGGTACCTAGGGGCTTGAACAGTTTTAGTTCGATTTGGACAAGTTTTGATCATAAGGTGGAATGCTTTCAAGGTATTATTTCTGCAAATTTTTATCCTGATTCATTAGTGCTTGATTTGCATACTGTAAAGCGAAAGAATCAGCTGGAATTTAGAATTGTTTCACATGGGAAGTAGGCGTGGTTGTAGTTCGCTTTTCGAACCGTAACATAGGAAGAATGTTATATACTGAATTAAGTTGAAATCAGTCGAGCAGGTCCTGAGGTACATATGATTTCAACTAAAAGTGTGATGTCACGCCCATCATCCATTTTGACCGCGGCACCTCGAGAGTAAAATTTAATGTCTCTGGCGTATACTTGTATAGTTATTGATTTATCGCACTTTAAGTAGTTTTTAACAGTACTGTTATGAAGTGGGCGGGGCTATCATCAGATTTTATCCATTTTTATAGTGTTGGTAGATGTGCTTAAGGAATTAGGTTATTTTAGTAGAAATGGTTTGAGAGATATGTGCATTAAACCTTTTAAAAAATTTTAGGCTACTGCGATCCCCTGTGTCAAGTTACAGTTTTATATCTTAATTTAGTGCTTTGTTATGCCACTTTATAGATTTTCGTTTAATTGTGTTTTGTGGTAGTGATTTCCACTCGTCGCATCATCCTGATCAACTATATCTCTATATCTAACTCCATTATTTTTATAAAAAAAAATACTGTGATGTAATACTGTGACCTAAATAGTATGTAACTAATTTTAATTGTATGTATTTTAAAACATTTTATATTAAGTATTAATCATAACAGTAGTTACAGTAGATTGAATAATAATAATAGAAAATATATTTTTATATTAATAACGTTATAAAATTGATTTTAAAAAATGTAATTATATGTTTTACTTTATTATTGGGTTTGTTTGAAATTTTACGTAGTTTTCTTAAAATTACATACATATTTCAAAGTGAAATTTTGATGTTTATAACTTACATAATTTTAGGCGTTAGAAAAATATTTACTTTTGAGTGTCAATAAGCTTTTAATATAAAAGAGATATTATGGTATAATTATATGTATGTAAATATGTATAAATGAACGAATGATTGTAGAGATCAAATAAACAAATAAAGTATTTTTTTAGAGTTAATAGATGGTTAGAAAAATCTCAAGTTCCTAGAATTAACTACATTTAAACAAAACTTATATTTTTAAATTTCATCTAGGTATTTCTGTAAACTTCTACTAAATTTTAGTAAAAGTGTCCCTTGCCAAAAAAGTGAGGACGAGTTCGTAGATGGACGTAATCGGACCACTGCTACTCCCACAAAACGCAATTAAACGAAAATCTATAAAGTGCCATAACAAAGCACTATATTAAGATATACATTTGTAATTTGGCACAGGCGATCACAGTAACAAGGAGTACCTGTGGACTAAAAATTTTGAATATACCGAATATTATGACTCCAGTTCCTATAGCGAACATTTTATCGAAAATATCGGTCAATCTTTGAGATATATCATAAAAATTTGAATAGAATCCTGAAGGTATTTTCCTTCCTTTGATCCTGGCAAGTTGCAAGAGTATTAAATGTTCGGTTACAACCGAACTTAGCCATTCCTTACTTGTTACAATATAAAATCTTATCTTTTGTTTCTTTTGTATTTGCTTAGTTCATATACGTAAAAATCGCTTTGTAAAAGGAAAATAAGTATTAAACCCGAAATCCCGAAATTAGTCTCGAGATTTCGAAATCCAGAAAAATATTTAATTAATTAAAATGTATGTTTTTGTTCTTATTTACTTAAAAACGCAGCAAATTTTGAAAATGATATATAATTCCATCTTGAAATTTACATCGGGATCCTGAAATAACACCAAATATACTTACATATATATGGTATAGTTTCATTCTATTCTAAAGAAAATAATCAAATTCAGATCAGTTAATTTTGATAATAAGTATAGAAGCTCTTTTTATATATTCCTATTCTTTACTTTTAGAGTATATGTATATACAAGTATACTTAATTTATTTTGAAAAAAGATTTGAAATCCAGAACAATATTTCTTTTAACTTTATAAGTCAATGGTCATAAAGGTAGGTACTTAAGTGCATTATTATATTGGTAGAGCAAAGCCCATAAATCATCGAGGTGTGATAATTAACAGTTATTAAACTTATAACAAGTAGATATCTATGTTTTTAAAGAAATCTTGGTTTTATTTTTGAATAGATTCCAATCCTCTAAAGCAATTTTACTAACCCTAATCATTTTCTTCTGAATTTATGCTAAGATGTTAACAGCTCCCCGCAAAAAATTCCGCTATAAGCCTTAGTCTAGTCGATAAACCCTATAAGTTATTTACTATATACATACATATGTATGTGCATAGTGTACTATACTTACTGTCTGGTAACGTATTGCGAGTGATAACAATTTAAGTAGATTATTATGTTGTGTTTTTTACTTTCTTTTGAAGCAGTTTGCGATTCTACGCTAAGCAGACGCTGAAGCACATGGAAATATATATATGTATATTTAAGTGAGAGTAAATTTCTTACGCATGATGTATGGGAAATTTCGGATTAAAAATATTTCCTATTGATGTATCATGCATACCTACGCGTATTTTACAAACTACTTAACTCATTGTAAGCAAACTGTCGAGCGTCGAAATCTCATGTTACCCTAAAAGCACATTTATACAATCAAAATAAAAAAAGGAACAACAACCACATCTAGTTTCTATTTTATTTGGCTTTAAAATAGTAAGCTCGGAGATAAATAAAGATATGGCAACAAATCTAAGCACAAATTGAGCTTCGAAAATAAGGCAGCTCTCGTGAGGAGCGATTGGGTATAATATAGCTATTTTTGTATATTTAATATAATATGTATATATCAGTCAAAGATCAAATTGTCTCAATAAAATTATGCAAGATTATGTTATAAATCATATTTAGTATTCGACTGCCTTCGAGCTTAGCCTCACCTTACTTATTTTAGTTACAAAAGTCACAGCACTGTCTGTAGCGTGCGGCGTGAAACTATGAAATTTCCAATTTTCATAAACTCTTTATTAATTCTGTAAATGTAGCTGTGAGAGCACGCTTATACTGTATTTCTGCCAACAGAAGTGTATATACTTACTATGTGCATGTGAATCCAAACGAAATGATAAGACGCAACCGGTCTGTGCTTTGGCGTGCGCAAGCGTTCTAGGCAATAAACTATTTTATAACGGCTATTTTGTTTATAAGATTAGCCGCAACGTCTTCATATTTATATCAAGGATATCTCAATGGACTGAGCAATCTAGAAATGCAGAATACTTAGTTCACTACTTGCCAGCGGCGCATAAAGTTCGAAATTTCCGTCGCGATTTCCGAGTGTGCCTGTGTGTGTGGCGTAAAAACTAGCAACAACTTAATGATAGCGGAGAGTAAAATTAAATATTAATATTAAGTTGCTGTTGAAATTTCTACACATTGTTGCGCCCAGACGGCAGTTACTAAAAGACACTCGCTGTTTTAGCTTTTTTGATGTGCTGGGGGGAGTGCGTCAGCAGATATGACAACAACACTAGTTCGAGGTAGAAAAGTGAACAAATTCTTTAAATTAAAAATGATCAGTATCAAAGAATTTAATGATTATTACCTTGAATAATTATTTTTTATATTTGTTTATCATTAAAATGTTGAAATAAAGTGAAGAAGTCGCAGTGCTTCTAAACAAGTACAGTTGTAAATAAAAAATCAATCACGTCAAAAAAATATTTTATCTGCTTTTCTGTGTGAAACTTCTTTATATACGGTAGTAAATTCGATTGATTGCAACGACATTGTGTTACATAACAAAATTGCGTCACGCTCGTAATAACTGCACGAAATATAAGAAGAGTAAAGGAAATTTGTGTTTGTTGTTTGTTGAATTAAATAAATTTTGTTGATTGTTCAATAGAGTGCTTGGCTGTTTTAAAACCAAAAAAAAAAAAATTAAAAGTTGCCAACTATTAAAATTGTATACAAAACAATATGGCATTTTATAAACAAACAACTCAAATTGAAAAAGGTTAAGGAAGTAGAAAGATGAAAATATATTGTGAAGTATTGTCAGCTATTTAAAAATTTCATGTACATAACATTTGCAAGATGAATGAAATATTAAAGTATAGACGTCACGTCAGCGGCATTTTGCGAAGAGTTGAAAAATATTTTTTGCAAAAAAAGTTGCCAACTGTTCAAAAATTTTGATTAAAAATAAAAGTGATTAATTAATAAGAGATCAAACTGAACTGGACTGGACTTTCTGCTGGAGAAAATTTTGAAAACATATCAAAAGTTTAAATTTAATAAGAGGGCAAAAACATTCCTATTTCTCAAGCGGGTGAAGAAAGACAGCGTTTGAAAATAAAAAGAAAATACATTTGCTAAGTGTTGCTATCTAAATTAAATTAATAAAATGCCTATGCCAATGGTAGAGTATAAATATATATACATATATTTTTTCAATATATAATATTTAGTTATATTCACTTGCAAGTCCGAAAAAACGCATTCTTTCGTGCATTTTTTTTTGAAGAGACATTTTATTAAATAAATATATAAAAAATATGGTAATATTTACAGAATTTAATGTACTTTAGTAACGGGTGAAATATTCTGAAAAATCTCGAATCCGATCTCCAAGAGGAGCGCCGAAAAAACGTGTTTGGCATTGAGGAAGATTTTTCTGCTTAAAATGATCTAAAATCCAAAAATCAAAACAGCTTTTATTACAACAGGTGAATACCGTTAATGATAGAAACACTAGTCAAATTTTAAATTTTTCAAAAATATATCGGTCCGTATGCTTTTCGGTACCTCACCAATTCTGAAACGCATTTAAATTATTGGGAGCCAATTATATTAAGTTAAGAAAATTCTTACAAATACACTCATATCTTCGAAACTATTAGCCGGATCAACTTTAAATTTATAATGAATATTTTCAAATAATAAGTACGTTGGATATATAAGAAAAATAAATGTATATTTTTGGAATTCACAAGTGTATATGAGCGCTTAAACGACCTAATCTGAATCGCTCTGTTTAGTAGTATATTGAGTCACTGGGCAAGCGATTTAATTTTTTTGTTTTATAGTTACATATATCAATACTTATTTAAAAACTAGAATATTGCAGTTAATTTAGTCACGGTATTTAGTTACTTATTATTATATTCACATTATTAAAAATGTGTCATGCTATATGATTTATGGCAGTTTTTGTGCATTTTGCTAATGTGATAATGTAAACCCCCTGACAGGCTATATGTTACATAATACTAGTATTATGATTCTGTTAGGTCAGGTATCAGTCCGAACGTTCGTTCATTTGTAAAGGAAGCGATATATTAAATAAAAATTGAGATATTTAGCTTAAATTACACCTTTTGTAGTAGATAGTTCAGCTTTAACTAAAATATAGCACGAATAGTACCTCAGATATGTGATAGCTCCGTTCTTAAAATGGATTGATTTATTGATATAAGGGTATATCTTTTCCAAGTCCCATTTATCGTATTTAAAGATTTTCATTGCTCTGGTTAATTCCATATCGCATATATCGGTCAATAAGTACTATATGTAACTGTAATCAAGTATGAATGCTTTATCGAATATAATGTGAATTGGTGCCAAAAATAGATTCAATCAGTGCAGACCTTCACCCAGCTCACATACATCCTATATAATAATTTTTGACCCTCGCATATACATATATGTGGATATAACAATTTTGTAAAATTTTGGAGGATTGCGAAACGAATAATCAGTTGATATAAATCACATCAACTGGCACAATAAAATTAAGGGAGGAAGCGATTACACCGGTTTACGCCAGAAGCTCTCTCTTCCTAAATTATTGCATGCATATGTTTTAATCTCTTCAAGCGCAGACAAAATGTTATCAGAGGCTCTGATGTTGAACCATTTCTATTTCCATATTTTTCACAAATTGCCATTATGTTTGTAATATAATATCAATTACCAATTCTCGCCTAAACTATATGGTGCTTTTATGATAAATGTATAGTTCAAAAGTCGCCAAATATCGTCCGTAAAAAATCGTAGTAGTCGATATGAAATCGAACTAATAAAAAATAAGCAATAAATTATATGTCATATCAAGGTTTTCTTTAAATATCCAAATTTGCTAGAAACTTTCTCTTATGGAAACAGATTATACTTGTAGATTTGTTTAAAAGTTTTGTTATACCCTATACAATAATTAAGTATTATCAAATATTAAGTATAACAAACACACCTTCAATTGGGTTCATTATAAATTCATTCAGAGATAAGCTAATTGCCATAAAACCATTACACAGTAATTCAAGTATTTTCACTTGTATTAAAGTGTAAAGATAAATGGATTAACCAAAACACGCTTAATCGGTCATGTATACAATGGTGATTACTTTACGGGTGATCAAAATCTTATCGTGATTACCACGCATGCTTTGATGGGGTGTTGAAAATTTCGGTGTTTCAGTGTATTGTAAACATAACGGTATACAAATAAGACTAGTAGTACATAATCATATGACATATGTGAATAAAACCTATGATATGATAACTTAAATTAAGTAAGGAATTTAATTATAATTTCTTTTATTATTTTTAGGTCCTTGGTTTGGCATACGCCATCTGCAGGCATTGCTGATATTCTTCAATATTGTGGTCGTCTATTTTAGTCGAATAAATGTGTCCGTTTCGGTGGTGGCTATGACCAATGCTAATACAACAAATCCAAATTTTCCGGTAAGACGCACTCAGTGCATTAATTATTTGTGTTAAATTGTGTGGAAACGATCTATATCATAAGAAAATAATATTATACTTAGGGACTCACTGTATCCTTAATGTAAGGCTAGGTTAGGTCAAAGGGCTGATTCTCGTATCAAAGGTATCCCACTTGGAAGATGTTAAACACCACAAAATTGTAGAAACTTTATATTTGGTACTTTTGATAAGTAATTCTTTCTTAAACTCAAAACTTATGAGAAAAGTAATTTTAATTAAATTTAAATAGTTTGAGGTTCCTTTTAAATTGAAAGACTACTGCTATCAAAATACAGAACTTGGAAAAACTTTTAATAACTGTTAAATTATAATTAAGGAAATACAGGAAAAATGTACTTAAATATGTAAGTATATAAATATAGAGAGCTGTAATGCGACATGTGACATATGTTATGGTTGAACAAATTTGGGAGAGAGATAAAAAGTGTTTTGAAGGAGCTTATCAGGGATTTCTGAATCTAGTTGCATATTAAATCCCTTCAATGCTATCGTATTTTTCTTGACTAATACTAGGTTTAAGCTCAAGATTTTCATGATCTACGTTTGCGCTTTTTGAGAGTGGGAAATGATTTTTTTTTTTTCAATTTATAGTATTTTAAAAATTGTTAATTGTTTTGTGTATAACTTGTGAATTATCTCGTTATAAATAAGTCTAATCAAATTATCTCTTCCACTTTTCTCTACTTTCGTTTCAGGAATACGATTGGAATGAAACGCACAAATCACTCATCATTTCAAGTTTTTTTTGGGGCTATGTCATTACACAATTCCCTGGTGGTTACCTTAGTCGGCGTTTCGGCTCCAAAGTCGTAATGTTGGGCTCGACTTTTTGCTCAGCCATTTGCAGTGTGTTAACGCCGATATTAATACCACTTGGTGGATGGCAAGCTTACTGTGCGATACGCATTATAATGGGTCTCGCACAGGGTGTGGTTTTTCCGGCTATACACCAACACCTGGGCAAATGGTCACCGCAAAGGGAACGCAATTTTTTGGGTACCGTCAGTCACTGCGGCACCGATTTTGGCATTATTATGTCCATGGGTGCAAGTGGTCTCATTGCGAGCAGTTCGATTGGTTGGCCTGGTATATCGTACGTATCGGGTGGCGCCTGCTTCCTTTGGTGTATACTTTGGTTATTCTTTGGTTATGATAATGCGCCTTCGGCACGCTTTATAACGCCTGAAGAACGTCAGTATATCGAGTCCGATCTGATGCGTGAAGATAATTTCCATAAACAGAATATACCGGTGCCATGGTTGGCGATCTTCACCTCGGTGCCATTCCTCAGTCTGCTGGTGGTGCGCTGTGCACAAGCTTGGGGCTACACAACACTGCAAGCACAAATACCCTCCTACATGGCGGGCGTATTGAATATGAATATAAAGAGTAATGCACTCTTCTCGGCATTACCATATATGGCAATGTTTTGCTTGACTTTCGTTTTTCTCTTCAGCGCCGATTTTGTCATGTCCAAAGGCTTGCTTACGCTAACGGTTTTGCGTAAAGTGTGCAACACGATTGCCTTATGGGTACCGGCTAGCTTAATGATCGCCATTGGTTTTCTGGATGAAGAACAAAAGACGCTGGCGATCGTATTGATGGTCTTGAATGTCGGCTTTAATGCGGGCGCTACAATTGGCAGCACCTTGAATACGATCGATTTGTCTTCGAATCATGCAGGTGTACTGATGGGCATTGTCAATACAATCGCCAATTTTGTGCCAATCGTAACACCGCTATTGGTCGGCGTCATTGTAACGGATGAGGTGAGTGTTGCTAAAAAGACACCGTGCGTTTATAACTTTAATCTCTCTCGCTCCTCTCTCTTTCAGCACGATCGCGCGCTTTGGCAAATTGTTTTTATTATTTCAGCAGCAATATTCTTCTTTGGAAATTTGATTTATATTATATTCGGATCTGCGTTAACACAACCATGGGATGCACCAGACTTTTTGATGCATGATAATATGGAGAGTTGCATTGTTACCACGGAAAAACTAACTACTTATAAAGTTACACCTAACGGTACTTTAAATGATGCGTTTGAGTTGGCCGAGCCAGAGAATTTGAAATGGGAAACATCAAAGACTGAACTCAAGTGTAATGACGAGGAAAAGGTACAGAACGGTGTGACAGCTAATCAGCAGGGGAAACATGATTAGCGGTTTCTTTTGTTTTTTTGTTTTAGAATAAAAAAACAACCTTAGTCATTTGAAAATGTAAGAGATATTTTAAAACGAGATATACTTCTTAAGAAGGCGTGAGTGTAGTTCAGTTGTAATTATTGTGTGTAAACTATATCTTCAATAGCAAATAATGTACCATAACTCGTGTTGTAAATAAGTGCGTCTAGGCAAAGTTATTAAAATATTCAGCAGAAACATGAAAATATTTTTATTTATTTACCGCTAGACTAACATGGTAAAAAAGTGTTTACAGTAGCTGTCACTAATCTCTATGCTGAAATGAAGTCAGGCAGTTGTCAATGCGTGCATTTATGAAGTTCAAATATTTGATTTCAACTGTCTAATTGCAGCTGATAAACAAATTTATTTTTATCTGACTAGAGACTTCATTTAATACATTCTTGTGTGTCATAGTCTTTTATTATAATTCCGATTATATTGAGATTGTTGGGAGTGTTATCTTAATTGCAGCCACTAAACTCAGGGTTGAAAATAGTTCGTGATTGCGAAAGATAAACAAATCATTCGTTTAAACACAGGTGAGAAATGCAAACTTATCAAAGTGAACATGTTGTTTTCAACGCCTGCCTTTGCTTTTTTATAAAATACCCATTTCCATTTTATGACTTCATAAAATTGAGAAATCGGATATTAACTGAAGCTATAATACAAATCAAAGATAAAAAGTTTCTTAACACCAACTTCATTTTAGTCAGTTTGCAACGGCAGTTCCGACAAATGAGCAGCTTCTTGAGGCAGTAAAAAGTGTGTAAAATTTCAGGTTGATAGCTTAAAATCTGAGAGTCTAGTTCGGGTATATGCAGATAGACAGACAGACGGACATGCCTAAATCGACTAATGCATATAGCTGCCATACATACTGAACGATCGGAATCAAGTGCTTGTATGGAAAATTTTTAATTTGACGAGATATTTTCACGAAATTTAGCTGGGGTTATTGTCTCAGATAATAGTGCAATCTCCGAATAAATTATTCAGATCGGACCACTATAGCAAATAGCTGCCATACAAACTGAACTTTCTTTTCTATATGTAAAGGGTTTTATAGCTTCGGTGCAACCGAAGTTAGCATATTTTCTTCTTTATATATGTATATATTTTATAGGGTCTCCGACGTTTCGTTCTAAGTGTTATGGGGTTAACTCTCTAAAGTATTATGCCAGAAACAGAATAGTTGTATACGTAGAATCTGTTTCAAATGATCATGATGAAGATAATGACGTGTTCATAAACCCACGCCTCTTAAGCAGTAATGATGCGTTTTATGAATGTAGGGTCTTCAGCTAAGGTGTCGAACATCTTTTTTGTGACCGCTAGTCGACATTGTTTTCGCATTCAGGTCTTTTGGTATGTGTCTAGTATTGATACGCTTCATACCCAAAACATTAACCAAAATGTGTTGAGTGGAGCTTATATCCAATAAGAGTATCATCTTTTATCTCCCTAGTGCCAACAAGACGAGTTTTAAGCACTGTTTCTTTAACTTTTTCGATGTTATCGTCATTAACAGAGCTGGACGGACAACTCGGATAAGACATGAGGCAAATTTTCGCTTGCTTTACGACCTTTAGTGAATGCTTTGTGCCACTTAAATATCTGTGTTCTTTGTTTCGTGGTCTTCAATTATTGATGAGTCGGACAATTGTCAAAAGTATGTTATAAAAGCGTGTGTTATAATTTCTTTGCGCCTAAAAGTATACGAAAAGTTTACTTACTGCTATTTGACTGTTAGTCATCCATAAAAGCTGTTTATTTAAACTCACCGTCACAATAAAATAATATATTGATTCGTGCTACAAAAACTCAGTCTAATTAAGAATTAAGAAGTTTTCAGATCTTGAACCTATGTACGACAACACACGTTCTTGTGGATGTGTTACAGAAATCAGTAACATGCAATTTTTCTGATTGATAAAATTTTATAACTGCTTATTTCAATTAATTGAAAAGTATAAAAATTTACAGCAGAATTATCAGCACTTTACACAAGTGTTCTCTCCTTTTTGTGCTGCACTGTAAAGTATGCCTGCGGGGGTAATGAAGAACATGTGTGAGTTAAGACAATAGTATTGTAAAGATTGCGTTTTTTATTGTTTCACATTTTCCATTAAATGTTTTCTTATTTAGGGCGCAGCTGTTGTTTTCATTTTCAATTAAATTTTCATGCAACGCGAACGCGCTCATTCGGTGCGGAAGTTGCAGCTTCTAAGTGAATAAGTAAATTTGTGAGTTGAATTATTTAATATTGCCATCCAGTCAATTGAGTTTCAGACTCTCTGCGAAGCGATCACTACGAACTGGTTTCCTTACAAGTGGTTAACAAGTGAAGGCAACAACAAAGCGTTGATTTGTTGCAGTTGGTGGCGACTGGCATAATAGTTTGGTGTTGCAAATTTGTGCGTTGTTTTGAAGCACTTTGAGAATTATATTTTAAAATATATAATTAAGAACATAATTTAATTGCAGAAATGGTGACGAAATTGTTCGACTTAATTCAAAATGGCCAGTGAGGTGTTGGATGATTAACTGTAAGTTTATAGCATGCCTTATCACTTGACATTTTGGTAATATGCATAGAAGAAGCAAGTTTGTGTCCACAGTCTTTTGTGTTTTTTTTTTCAAATTCAGAGTTTTCCATTAGAAAATAGTTGATTTTTATATTTTATGTTTATGTGTTATTAAAGGCAATAAAATTCAAAAAAGTTATGTGCCAACTTTTTTTATGTTAGTGTGAAGTTCCCTATGTCAGTTAGTTTGTGTTTGACAGCTGTTTGTTTGGCGATATTTTCCATAGAAAAACTGAACATCCAGTTTGCTTGAAAATTTTTATTTCCAATAGAATTGCGGCTACGGAATCGTTAAAAATAGTGCAAAAGTATTTTGTGGAACTTATTTTATCATCAACATAAGTATTAGATTGGCATAAAGCATTCGGCGAGGGTCGTGAAGTCATCGAAAACTGGCGTCATGAAAGTCGTCTTATTGTTGTTAATGACGATAACATCGGAAAAGTTTATAAAATATTGCTTGAAAACCTCGTGTTGGCATTAGAAATATATCAGAGGGTCTCCTTATGGATCGACTCAAGGCATTTTGGTAAACGATTTGGGTATGGGGCATGTCAATGCTGGACTCGTACCAAAAGGACTGATTGTTTTTCAAAACAAGCGTCGAATAGAGGTCGCAAAAAAATGTTTGCTAACGTAACCCTACATTTAACAAACGAGTCATTACTGATGACGAGACATGGGTATATAAATGGGAAACTACATATGCTCCAATACGAGCCAAAAACTAAATTGGGCAATAGATAATTTTTATTATACTATAATAGTTTGATAAGTTATTTTTTTAAATTGAAAATTAAAATGAAAAAAAAAATTAAATTGTATGGAAATTGAGTTAAGAGTTAAGGTTTCACCTTGATGATCTTTATACTGTGACAAACGGATGTGAGTTCATGTAATTGAAATAACATTGGCACCAATTGTGCAATTTGTAGTCAATACAGCGAAAACTATATGAAAAATAATAAATCTGAATTAATTTGAATGAACTTATGACTCACTTCTCTGCAAACGGTGAAAGTTCTCTCAAGTCTACACAGTAAAAAACGTTTGTGTTAAATATTTTATCAACGATCTTCCACAACATATTTATATATTTCTAAATATTTAATGTCTACAAACGCTGCCAAATACTAAAAGAAATTCTCTGATTGCCTTGAAAGGTTAAAGACTGGTATGTGATGCCAGTGAGCTATTCCTTTGCACATGATCTTGACGATCTTGCATGGCCCTAGGGCTTTCTATCTCATTTTGATCGGTCTGTCAGCTCTTTCGGAAATTTCATTGTGCATCGTTTTTAACGATTTACGTATTTCTTGAACGGGTTCGGTAGTCATGCGGATGGCACCTGTGACAATCTTATCCTCGTCGTTTCATGGACCGCCCGTATGGTCTGGTACCCAGTATAAATGGTAGGTACAAGAAGAAGAATTGTTTAAAAAATGAATGCAGTTTCAAAAGTCCGCGATTTTGTGGCTAGATTATTTACCTATAATCCTCCTTGTTTTGAATTCACAGAATCGAAAGTGTTAAACCTCTTTCATTATCATCCAACAACTTCAACAGTGCGAGTAGAAGCATTATCCACGTGAGAAAAAAAGCTGTAAATCTGTGATATCTATGAACCCTGTACAGATAAAAGCGACCGTGATCCAATAATGTAGTTAGAAGACTTTGACAAAAATATCACTAAATGGGAAGAATCGTATAAAAGAAAACACAAATTACCCTATTTAGTAACATACCGCCCATATAAAATAATTCCCTTTATCTTCATAATAGGACTACGCATCTTTGACACCAGATCAGCGTTCCAGCATGTTGGGCAGCATATTTTGGGGCACCTTCTCAGTGCAACTATTCAGCGGCTACCTGAGTAGTCATTACGGTACCGTCAAGTTGCTGCTGTGCTGCGTACTCGGTTCTTCACTTATTAGTTTGGCTCTACCTTACGTACTCATCTTGCGGTTAAGAGGCATTTATAGCGTGTCGCGTGCTGCAAGACTGTGCGCAAGGCATTCTTTTTCCCGACGTCTATGGACGCCGCTCGGTTGGACGGCAATTTTTATGTGTCTGGTGCGTGATTTTGTTGTAATTTCTTTTGTTATGATATTGTACGTAATTTTCGTGTTTGCTTCCTACACGTGTAGCTGGTGCGATATGGTCGGCGCCCCTTGTTGCGTCATTCTAACCTCTGTGCCTTATCTAGTCTTGCGACTGGTCAAGTTGAGTCATGGCCTGAGCACCTTCACTCTGATGCAACAAATACCACTATATTTTAATGGTCTGTGTGACTATGAGATTCATGTGAATGCTGTGCTCTCGACACTGCCATTTTTCCTCATGTTTGTGACGTCACACTTGGTTTCATACACCGTTCACTATTTGCTGGTCGTCCGCAAGTGCACGCTCGCTGTGAATGAACACCTTTTCGACATGGGTGCCTACCGCTGCTTTTGTTGCGTTGATACTGCTGAGCCAGGAGCATGTTTCGGCAAATATTGCCTGTTTGATTGTCGCAGTGAGCACTTATGCGGCGGCATGGGTGTGATTTCACCAATCGCTGTGGCGGAGATCGTTAAGAATGAAGTGGGTATCTTCAAGAGATATCAGATATATTGTGTATAAAATATAAAATTTTAAGAACGGTCGCTCGCAGTGGAACATAATTTTTCTGATAATCGCTGCTTTATTGTTTTTAGGAAACCTGCTTTATATAATTTTTGGAGAAATGGTGGCACAACCATTGGACAAAACCGTTGGATAAATAAAAAAACTCTTTAATATTTATTAAAGTGAAGCCCAAATAACAATAACCCAGATCACTACTGTCAATAGTAGTTAAATTTATAAAGCTAATGCTGATCCATTTAAATTGCGCCCAAACCGAATCGATAAATATTTTTTGTATGTGGTGTGAAGTTTGATATCCATTTGTAAATAAGTGTCTTTTTGGCAGCTGTTTGTTTACGATGAAAACTTTGAAGGTTTTACTATAGAAAAAGAGTTTAACAACGAGTTTCCTTGAAATTTTGTGTTTCCAATGAAATCATAGCTACGAAATGTGCGAATGTGTGTGTTTGAAAATGTTTCACAAATATTTTGGGGAGTCTACTTCATCACGAACACAAGCATTCAGTGAAGAGATTGACGTCATCGAAAACTTAACTCAAGCGAGTGGTGCATCCACCTTTGTTAATGTCGATAAAAAAAAGTTCAAGATATAGTGCTTGCAAATCATCGCGTTGGCATCACAGAAATAGCAGAAGATTTCAACATTCCAATGATAGGCCCGTACCAAAATACCTAAATTTTTGGCAAAAGGACGCTGAGGGAAATTATAACTCGGCAAAAGCGTACTTGTAATTATTTCTGTCAATTTATTTTCCTATTAGGTATGAAGAGGTGCCTAGCTTTATGCTTCTTTATTATTACACAGAATCTTTCTAATAAATGACACTATGAGTCGCTTTACGTATTTACTTTTCTTTTATAAGGGTTAGATGAACTCGAAGAAAGGATGCTGCCACAGTGTGTGCTAACAATACAAAAATCGTGGAACTCATCAAGAATTATAGAAACACCTTCAACCAGAACATGAAATTTGATTCTTAAAAGAGCCTCGCTAAGATGATTCAGGTACGCCTACTTATCTGTCTCTGTGTAACTATTTCTAAAAGAAAAATTAAAGAAAGAGTCATCGATTAATTATATTAAAAGTACAACTCTTTAAAGAGCCCATCCTGGAACTAACACATCGAAATCTAGAAAAGACGATAGAGCATTGCTGCTACAGAACAGGCTGATGATTTAAAGAAAATTTTTAAAGTTTTTGTTTTACCACCTCTGTACTTTTGACAACATGAATGAAATCGAATTGTGTTCAAATTTCATGTATTGAAAATTTCAACACATTTCAACTTCATTATATTAGAAAGTGTAAACAAAATTGGTATGTGTAATCTAAAATGTATATTTTTACACGACAATCATAACTTCTCATATTCTGTATCGAAATTTCATACAAAAAGAAGGATGAGGAGCATTGTCTACAACCGTTAAGAGATTATTGAGTATGTGCCTAGGTAAGTATTGAAAATTGGGATGACACGTGAACGCAGAAAAGCTGACGCTCTAGAAAAAAAAATTTTGTTTCTAGGCTGCTCCTTTCCAGTCCGTTACACCCAAATTTTGCTGTTGTTCACATCTTTGGTATTGACCTTACATCAGCGTACCAATGTTCCTGAAGTTATTGTTGTACTCACAGCCGCCAACGGCACGTACGCTCACTTTATGCCAGAGGTATGTAAGAGAAATCTGTAGTTTTGAGAGAGATTGATGTTGGAAGCGACGAGTAGATTCATGAATTATGCTTTTGATCAAAATAGACGCTAGATTTTGATATAGGAGTTCGCTTAGGGGTGAGGTCAATCGGTCACCCAATATCTGGCAAAAGAATAATTTTAGCGCCTCAGTTATGCTGGTTTTGACCTAAACCTTTTTCGATTTGGTGATTTGTGCATCATTTCGTCTCTCCCGCGATAATCTCTCTGTTAAATAGAATTTCTAAATTTTTCTTTGTTTTGTTGACAGGGTTACTCGCTGACGCCGCACGAAAAGTCCACTATGTTGGGAAGTATCTATTGGGGCGCAATTTTGGTACAAATACCTAGCGGCTATATCTGTAGTGCCTATGGTAGCGTCAAGCTCTTGTTCTGTTGTCTCTTCTTCTCTTCACTCATAAGCATAGTGCTGCCACTGAGTCTGATTTTTGGCAATTTCGTCACTTTTATTTTGCTACGCGCGTTACAAGGCTTGGCGCAAGGTATTTTATTCCCCACAATCTTTGGGCATCTAGCCAAGTGGTGTCCCCTCAATGAACGAAGTCTGCTGGGTGGCATCTCGCAATCCGGCACGGAGTTGGGTGTAGCCTTGGGTTTGATGAATAGCGGATTTTTATCAGTGACACGGTTATATTGGCCGGCGGCCTTTTACATACCAGGTAATTTTCTGTAAGTTAAGGAAATAAGTTAAATTTCCCCAGACTATTATGTTTTCAATACTTTCACTGCAGCTCTAGCCGGCTTAGTGTGGTGCATTTTCTGGTCAATCTTCGGCGCTGAATCCCCATGGACTTCCAAACGTATATCAGCTAATGAACAGCAGCTCATACAATCTGTCGGCACTCTTAGTATGCGCAGGAAAAGCAAGGCCGCCATACCTTGGTGTGCGATAGCCACGTCAGTGCCTTATTTGGTGCTGCTATTAAATAAAATTAGCCACGCCTTTTCGATCGCGACCATAGGGCAACAGATACCCATCTACTTGAACGGCATGTACGCTTACGAAATCCATATAAATGCTTTAATATCGTCGCTACCGTTTTTCATTATGCTAATCAGCACATATGTAGTCACAATTAGCTCGCATTATTTGCTGAAAGTCAGAAATGTGCGTCTGTCGCTTGTCCGCAAGTCTTTAAATACGATCTCGAACTGGGTGCCCGCCACTGCATTGGCCACTCTGAGTTTGCTGTCAAAGGACAATGCGGTGGGCAATATTTCCTGTATCGTTATCAGCGTCGTCGCATTTTCGACTTTTACGCTTGGCAGTTCCTTGAATCATATTGACTTATCGCCGAATTTTGCTCCGCTTCTCTCTGGTATTACCGGTATATTTACTATGCTAGCGGCCATCATTTCGCCGATAGTTGTGGCAGAAGTCGTAAAGAATGAGGTAAGTAATTTAAAGGATTAAATATGTAACTGCTCGTTAGTTTTTGAAACCGGTTCAAGCAAAAGTTTAGGTTATGTGAGGATCTGCCGTAGATACTAGATCGTGAAACAGGATGACCCTTAGGCTATAATTTTCTGGCGATATTTTTGAGACAAATTAATCCCTATGTTATAAATTGGTAGTGTGTGTGCACAAAAAACAAAAAAAACAAAACGAAATAGACTAATTAGGTTCAAGTTTTCGATATGTTGTAGAGTTGTTTTTTAAACGATTAAACGGCACTGGTGTTTAAACCTTGGTTGTTTTCGCAGTAGTGTCTAGTTCATAGAGTCTTTCTATAACATCTTTTTGGCACGGTATTCAACAAAAGGATCTAGCGATATGAGATCCGAATTATAATACAGATAATTGCTGTAGTCTGAGAAAAACAAAGATCAAAGGAAGCCATGCGCCAAATCACCAATTTTAGACATAGCCGAGAGGGTGATGCCTTTTCATTAGAAGCAAAATCATTGCATATTGCATTATAATAATCATTTGTTTAAATTCATCTATCTGCTTCTTTGGCACTACAACCATGGGTCGGACAGGGCCGAGAACACAAAACTTCGCCAGTTGCTTCTATCCTTTGCGAGATTACATCAGTTGTACATACTAAATGCAAATAAGACCCTAGGTACTTGGTCCTTCCATTCAATGCGTGGGTGCCCTTGCTTCCGTTGTCCACGGGTTCGTAGGTATCGAAACGAAGGAGCTTTTCGTTAACGCATCGTCTTCATGCGACATCGCCTAACCAGCGAATTTGTTAGTTGCAGTTCGCGGAAAACAGTTCTCTTCAATGTTGCAATGGCGCTCCAATACGCCAAGTGCTTAATTAAAGCTCCCAAGACGCGACAAATTTGCGTGTGTGCCCTTCAGGTACTTTGTTGTGCAGTTGTTCACTACAACACCAACCTCTTTCGCCTCTTTCACTATGCTAGAAAGTAGCATTGTTCTTTTAGAATAGATTACGCACGAGAAGAGAATCACCCTGCCTAAAACGTCATAATATATAATCAAAAAAAATATCCCTTCTTACACCTTTCCTTATATCATATATTTTCAGAACGATCCTTGGCAATGGAATATTATATTTTTGTTTACAGCAGCTTTCCTCTTCATGACGAACTTGTTGTATTTGCTTTTTGGACAAATGGTTGCGCAGCCGTGGAACGAATTGCAGATTAATGAACCGAACAATGATAATAATGAAGTGACTTAAACACTATTACCTAAAGCACATGAAGTCTTCGACTTAACCATGATTTAATAAAAAAACGATGATTCCAAAAAAAAAAGAGAAGCAATAGTAGAAGAAGAGCTCGCTCCATTCACCAGTGGCTAAAAAAGGTGTATAATACATGCTATCCTCTAGAAGATCCCAAGTGTTTGAACCGCTTAGCAGGCGCACTACTTTAGTCGAGTAACGGATAAAAAGCTTTTGATAATATCCGAATTTTACCATGCCGATTACCCATGCTCCTGGTCACCCCAAGCGACGGATCGATGCCGAGATCGAAAGCAAATGAGAGCAACACTTGGTCAAAGCAAGTACATAGACGAATACGATGAAAATCGCTCCTTTATATATATGCGTGGAAAATTAAAATTTTAATGGCGTTCTATGACGGCAATAAGCGTTACAGAAACTGCGGATAGAATATTTTCCTCGACGGAATGGTTCGAACTTTTAGCTGGTTCAGAATTGTCAACTTGGTAGCACTCTACATTATAATTAACATTTTATATCACTACAACAACACGAAGGTTTGTTTGGATATAAAAATCGTAAAAATTGTAAAACCATTATTGTGTTGGGGTTGGGGGATCTCTTCGAAAATATGTTAATAGTTTGGAAACATGTGCTACTTGGTGGTTCCCGATTCAAGTACACCAATAAATTGTATAGATAAAAAAAGCACAGACGTCCGTCTCTAATTTCACAAGTACTTGGGATAAATTTTAGTACCGTAGACAATCAGCCTTACGTACAGTAAGCTACCATACCACAAGAATGAAAAAATTTCACAATTTCTACAGTTTTATTGTTATCTGTAAAATAGCGTGTGGTTAAGTTGACTATAGAAAATTATTAACAAAGATGCGAACTTTAATTCAAGTATCTTATGAGTGTATTCAATTTTATTATAGAACACGGTGAACGACCATTTATGTAATTAAGCAATCAATTAAGTATAAATCATTTACTATATTTACTAAGATTTTTAATATCAGTTACAAGAAATTTATAGGCAGTGTAAAGTATGTGCTTATCATTGTTCCACAGGGAAGGCGGCAAACTGCCACGATTTTTAACCACATCACCATATTGTTGTAGAATAAAAAATCTTTTCAGATTTCACATTCAAAGCAAGCGTGTATAATTTTATTCTTGGGGAGTATATGTCTTAACAGCTTGATTATTTTTATTACCTTGGGATTGACTTTTTATTGGTTAAAATATAGCTGTATAATATTATTCCGAAAAGTTCCTTAAACGTTTGACGTGCGACAGATATTTTTCTAGTTAGTTATTTTTTAAGTTTTTAGTTTCCTAGATGGCAACTCATGACAGCTTTTTCTAAACACCTTGCTTTTAGTACAATTTTGCATTATTTCCAGATTTTAACTTTTATATTGTAGATGGCAATTCAATTACAAATATTTTTAAAATAAAGCCTCACCGACCAACGTTTGGAAAACTTTAGTAGACTTTTTATGTACGGCAGTCACTTCTTTCTATTTTGCTAATTTTTTAATTTTAAGATTTATAGTTGGCAACTCTAATCAAAAATATGGCAAAGTTCAAGAAGTATCAAATAGTTCATTGTAAAGTTTCTAAAATTCCTTTTGTTCGGCTGTTTGTTGAGTGTTGAGTTTTACTTTTTATGCGAACGACCAAAAATACATACACACATGGAGCGAACAAAAAAATTTTTGTTTTTTGTTTAGCCTGAAGGTAAAATCTGTAGATTATAAAAAAATAACATTTTTGGACAAAAAAAACATTTTTTTTTTGAACATCTAGAGGTGGCACACTCAGTTTTAAAGTAAATCTTGAGTTTTCGAGTTTATTTTTGTTTTAAACTTTTTACATTTATATAAAATTTATCGAATGTGACGGTTTTTGACTCAAATTTTATTTTAACGTTTAAAGAAAGCATGTTGTCATTTAAACCTTTTTTTTAGAACCCCAATATTAATACCACAAAATTTTTTTTTAAGTTGATAATATTTAATTGGCCAGAAAGAGGACTCTCCACAGCTTCTAGAACACTTAACAAAAATTTTTTACGAAATTTTTAACTCGAAAATTTACTTTAAAAACTGAGTAGGCCTCTAGATGTTAAAAAAAATGTTCCTTTTTATAATCTACAAATTTTGCCCTCAGGCTAAACAAAAACAAAAAAAAATTTTCGCTCCACCCTAATATATTTATTGTTTATCTAAGATCTATAGCTCTGTCTCCGTATCATAACCATGTTTTATAATATTTATTGAATTTTGCGTAGTGTTTTATATAAAGAATGTCAATCACTCTGCTATCACACAATCTGGCCATACAAAACCGTCCATTGCAAGTTCATGAGCCCAATCGGTCAACCAGTTTGGCTTGCTGTCAAGTCACGTGCTGTTGCGGTCAATAGCGTCATATAAACGTCACGCTATACGTAGTCTCAGTTTACCAATTGCTTTTTACATTGCTCACACAATTTCACAAATGTATGTATATGTACGAGTATATATATATATGTTTCGTTGTTGTATTGCTACCAACTCATGCTAATGAGCCAACTCAATGACCGAATGGTGAATTGAAACCGATTTGTGTGTTTATTATTCCAAGGCGGTCGCTTTTTGCGGTAACTATTCGCAGTTGGGTATTGCCAAAACGAACCGAAATACAATAAATACATACAAACCAACAAGCACTTACAGTTTATGTTTTACCTACTGACATTTATTCTAGGTATTTGTTTAGACAGAATAGATGGATCGTAAGTCAATTGCTCACCTGGTGGTAAAGAAGGCAACGGCCGATAGCATGTATATGTCGTATTGTTTATTTTGGTCAAAATATAAAAAAAAAATATATAAACAAATATTTTTCTTTCTGCTAATGACGTCAATAGCGATATTTAAGTGCCAAAATATGTCATAACAATATCATTTGGAGATACTTGGAAATTTCGGAATATCAAAACAATAAGATGTTGCTGGAGTTCTTGGAAAACACGAAGCGGATCAATGAGAATTGATTAAGCGCAGTGAAGTGAAACTTGAATCGAGTAGAAGAACAACAAGGTTACTAACGAACATGTTTTGGTTTTTATAATTACTATTAGTGTAAGCTATCATTTTTTGAGGTTACGGTTTTTGGGAATCACCGCGCAACAAACAACTTTTTATACCCTCAACAAGGTATAATAAATTTACCACTTTATAATACGAAAAGAAAACGTCGGAGACCCTATAAAGTATATATGTATATAAATGATTAGCATGGCGAGCTGAGTCGATTCAGCCATGTCCGTCTGTATGCACGCGAACTAGTTCCTTAGTTTTTGAGATATCGGTCAGAAACTTTGCCCACATCCTTTTCTTTCCAAGACGCTATTCACTGCCGGACCCGTCGATATCGGATCACTGTAGGACATAGTTGCTATACAAGATGATCGGTCAAGCTCTTGAATGGATTTGACAAGATATGTTCACGAAATTTGGCATAGGTTATTGTTCAAGGCAAGGCTACAATCACCGATTGCACTTGTAACTTACCGTTCAAAAACAAGATAAAGATCGTCATTAAAGATTTGTTTTCTTATTAAGTAATTCAACTTAAATATTGTTTATATACGTATTACCATTACCAAATTTTCGTTTCGTTAACTCCGCCTAAGTACAGATAACTATCATTGGAATACGAAGGGCTCTGACCTATTTTTGGAAACCCTATCAGACATATAGAACCGAAGCAAAAGACATTCTAGCAAATGTCCGTCGTTTCTTTGCTCACATATGAGCATATTACCTAAATTTTTCCTGACTAATTGGGAAAGAACATTCATTTGGCCGTCGAGTGTCCTCTGTATCTACAAACTGAGATTCTAGTTTTTAAAAAGACCTTTCGGGGCAGAACACTAGCAGGAAGAATAGGGCAAGCTCTAGACTCACAGTCATGCTAACAATATTGTTTTGGTCTATTGCGATACCAGATGGTGTCCATGAGAAGTAGTCATCCTTTAAGACACCTGCGTATGACGTGAATGTCAACAGGCTCTATGGCTTCACTACCGATACCTCTTCCGGTACCTGAAAGCGTTGCCTTTGCAATGCGGCATAAGTGTACAAGATATGCTCCATTGTTTCCCTATTAACTTGCTTTTGGAATTTCCTGCAATCTTCTCGATCTGTCAGCCTCTATTATATTAAGCTATACTAACTAACTAACTAACTGAAGCAAGTATTATGCCTCATTTCATGAACCTTTTGTAATTAGGCTTCGTAAACTGATTTATAACCTTTTGAAATTAGTTCCGGCTAAATACAGTGACACTTGCCAACCAAATCAAATATATTGTAAAAATATAAAATTTTCACAATTATTGTATGTGTCATCCCTCCATGCATATTCAAATTCCCGAGACCTCCAACTGATATTGGCGTATGGCATATGAGCTGACTTCTACATTTTTGCAAAATACTCCCCTCCAACATTTTTGCATTTCAAGTTCATGTACAATATGATTTTCAATATTCATTAAACACTTTGATCAATTTAGACACTTGCGGACGCGTGCTGCGCATATAAAACACTTAATTACGCCGTATAACTTTTCAGTTTTGCACTCCAACTGTTTGTGTACCAAGTAATTAAGTCGTGAAAAATGGAGAAATCACAAAAAGGTTTGCCCTCGCTGCACCATTTAAGCGTGCATGAGTACGTATATATGGAAAGTGGAAGTAATTTAAATTTTTAGCCGACTAAGTTTATATCAACGGTTAGCTAGAATGTAGAAATCGAAAAAATTCGAAATGACTAATAAAAATGCTATAACCTCCAAATGTGAGGTGATTGATCTAAAATTTTTAAAGCTTTGTTTAGGCAACTATTTTGTTAATAGTAAAAAAATTTGATAGTTAGTATGTAGGTATTTATCGATGCATGAATATAGAAGCAATATCGTTATAAAATACTTGATTTATTGTGCACTTCTACCAATTTCTAGTAAGTTTTTTGAAGGAACTCTTCAAATGAAGGTGTCTTATGGCCTTTTATGAAAAACTGATTTTTAATCATCCGGAACTGAAACCTATCGAAAGTTAGCTAAGCTGTGAACCATTTGCGCTAAAACAATTGAAAGTGCAATAATCGTGGAAATGTAGAGTATTGTGTTATGTGTAGGGATTTGATTCCATATACGTTTTTTATAGTTAGGAGAAATATTATGAATGAGTATTAAGGAGACCTTGAGCTATTGATAACTCTAGTATAATTAATTTAATAGATAGCTTTTTTTTTCAAAGTAGCTACTTTGCGTTGAATATATGCTAAGTTTAAGTATCTTTAGAAAGACTTATTAATTTCTAAAAGCGATTTTATAGGAACAAAATTTTGTAGTCATAAAACTGTAGCAGAAGATCTATAAATACATATAAAAAAGAAAATAAAATAAAATGCTCTTAAGTATTTTTGATACATATGTCTTAAAAATCCGTTTTGCAACTTTTAATTTTGACTTCGAAAAAGCAGAAAATGCTTTTAAGTTTAGATGAGTCTAAAAGCATGCTTATGTGTTCATTTCATCGAAATTATTTTTATTACACCATATATGTATAAGTTTTTGATCTCAACACCTATGGATCGACATTTTGTTTAAAGTTTTGTATATGAAGCATGTCAACTCGGCAATTAGTCAGAC